AGTCTTCATCATGCTCCTCAAACTGTTCCCAAACAATGTGTGAGGTGTGGCAGAGCGCATTATCCTGCTGAAAGAGGCCACTGCCATCAGGGAATACCATAACCATTAAGGGGTGAACCTGGTCCGCACCAATGTTTAGATATGTAGCACCTGACATGTACAATACTTCAGGGTTTCCCAGCAGAACAATGCCCATGCATCACACTTTCTCCACACGGTGCGTCCGAGTGCCATCACTTCCCCCGACAGATAGGCTACACACACCCGGCTGTCCACATGATGTAAAAGAAAACGAGACTCATCAGAGAGGGTGACCTTTTTCATTACTCCAAGGTCCAGACGTTCGCATGTCTATTGTAGGAACTTTTGATGGTGGACAGGGGTCAGCAGGTGAACTCTGACTGGTCTACGGCTACACAGCTTCATACACAGCAGGGTGAAATGCATGTGACGTGTGTTGTGACACATTCCTTGAGTAACCATCATTAAGTAACCTCGGGCATCGATGAGCTGTAGGCCTCCAACACCGTCGCTGGTTCGTGGTTTGTCCCTCCCTGGGCCACTGTCGATAGCACCACAGAAGCTTTACCACGGAGATGCTCGGATCCAGTCATTTGGCCATATAAATTTGGCCCTTGTCAAAGTCACTCAGGTCTGCTGCCTGCCTATTTCTCACACATCCAGTATCATGACTATGAGAACTGACTGCTTGATTACCAACTAATATATCCCAGATTTGTGAGAGATCATAATGTTAAATACACACACACACACACACACACACACACACACACATTTTCTAAGCTGCTTATCCTTCTGGGCTGCGGGGAATGTTAAATAGTTTAACACATTTACAAATTAAATGACAGATATGTAAGAACTACAAAAAAAACATGGTGATGTTTCGAGCTGAAATTATATACACATATATTTTGGATTTTTCGTACTTCATATTTTATTATTTATTAATCACAGAATACATCAAATGATACAGAAATACTCTTTTATATTGTTCTAAATCTCTAAATCAAGGATTTATATTGATTTATATTTTGTGCCTGTCATTTCAACCAATACAGCCCTATGGTATTTTTCTGGGTCAGTGTAGGTTGGCTCTGAGAAGGAATTAAGGGCTGTTAGTGTGTGAAGATGAAATGTATAATCCAAAAACTTTAAATATAACTTTGTATGATCACAAAACAAGGCCTAGTACAAAACAATAACATTTTTTGGTGTCTGGCATCATTATTATATGATTGGCACAAAAATATGCATGGTTTGATATAGAATTTCAATTTCTGTCTATGGAATATATATGTTTAAGGACCTGAATTTAAAAAAAACAGACTGTTATCTTTTCTTTTTGACATAGAGTATATGTTTTTGCATAGTCAGTCTAAAGTTGATTTTAACTCGCATGATTTTAACTCTCTGAAATATAAGGGATAATGCAGACACTCTGCCTTTAGGCCAGGTCTGATTTTTTTCATTTTGGAGAGCATCCAAATATAAATGAATTACTCAACTTCTGCATTAAGATATTTTTATACAACCATCCATTACACAAACTAGGGATGAAGTTATATACAAACATGTTTGTGCTTTGTTCTACCTTGGGGAGAGTTATATCTATTTTTAGGGGCCTTTGTTCCTCTACTATTGGGAAAGTGGGGAGAAGTCCTAGTGGGCCGATTACTGTGAGCTAATGAATTGTGAGCACAAGAACAATAAGACAAACCGCAAAAGTTTCATCCCAGTGTTCATACATAGTAATTTAGGGGTTAAAATAGCCCCCCCTTCACCACCTCAAGTGTTTCTGTTGCAAAGCTACATAGATCTACTTTTCTACAGCTGTCATTATTAAATGTACTGCTCTCAGGTTAACATAAAAGAATAAAACTCCTGGGTCAGCACAACTACATGATGTCCCCAGGTCAAGACTGGATGATGTTCCTCAAGTGGAACAGCCATGGTTTGCTGATTGTAACTCAGTCTTGTTCAGTAGATAGAGATTAGATGAAGCTCTTATTCTCACTTCCGTTCCACCTTAAATGATGTAGGATTTACATTCAGATACCTACGATGTAACTGCTACACTATTAAGGTGAAACAGAAATTTGTGGAAGAAATTTATTAACGAAAGAAATTAATTAACATCAGCCTTGAGAGATTAGTGTACCGAATCTGGTATGGACTGATACAGCAGGCAGATTTCATTACTTTTTTTCCATTAGTGATGTAACAGTTTTTAGACGTGAATCGTGTGAAGATGGACAACAGAGGCAAGAACTGCAAAAACTGAATGTGGCAGCGAGAACACAAGAATGAAAAAGCTACAAAGGAGGAGGAGGACATATCCTAGCAGGTGGCCAGTGAGAAATACTAACCTTAACTTACTTAACTAGCATTAGTTTATAGCATATTAATTGTCACGATTATGTCACATTTAAGATAAAAGCTTTTGCCAGTTCTCAGTCTACCACAAGCCACTGTAGTTATCTCAGTGTAGCATATAAATAATAAATTAGAGGAAAAAATGAACAACACAGAAATACGCAGATTTTTAGAAAAAGTTGTTTTGGACAAAGGCGATCCTGTGTATGTATGTTTGTGTGTGAGTAGCAGCAGAAATAAAGTTACAGTTTGGGGTGGACTGATTTGCAACTCCAGTTTAAAAACAAGTCCCAATCTGGCCCTGTTTATATACATCTATATATACATACAGTTGCCATCAAAATTATTCAACCCCTATTGCAAAATAGGTTTATTAGCAGAACTTACCAACTTTCAGCTGTTTGCAATAAACTAATCAAAAAAGATCTATTTAAATAGCTCAACACAACTAATATAACAAGTGGTTTCTCCAAATTCAACACAAAATGCCACTTTTCATGACTACTGCCGTCTCAGAATTACTCAACTGCCAGAATAGAATCTCTTATAGGAGCATACATTTGCAAATCAGATGATGTATCAAGCACAGCTGATGCAACTAAACTGGGGCTTCATTAGTTGCATCAGGTGTGCTTGAGATAAAACACCTCAAATACCTGGACGGGCTAGAGTTTGTTGACTGTGAAATTTGTTTGCATGTTAGAAATACAGTCAAGAGAGTTGTCCAGAAAGTTAAGAGAAGAGATCATTGTCTTGCACAAACAAGGATACAAAAAGTTTGCAAAGGCACTGAATGTTCCAAGAGATATGGTTGGAAGCATAGTTTGCAAGTTCAAAGTTAAAGGAACATGGGCATCAATTGATCTTCCAACAGGACAATGATCCAAAGCACCAAAGTCCAATAAGGTTTGGTTTCAGAAGAAGTCCTGGAAGATTCTGGAGTGGCCGTCACAGTCGCCTGATTTGAACCCCATAGAAAATCTGGGATTTAAAGAAGGCGGTTGCAGCACATAACCCCAAGGGTATTAGTGAACTGGAGGCCATTGCCCATGAGGAATGGGCTAAGATTCCTTAGGAACACTGCCAGAAGTTGGTGTCTCACCATGCATCATGTCTGTAGCAGGTCATAACAGCAAAAGGGTGCTCTACCAAGTACTAAAGCTGATTGGGGTTGAATAATTCTGCAGTAAGACTGCAGTAGTCATTAAAAGTGGCATTGTGTGTTGAATTTGGAGAAACCACTTGTTATATTAGTTGTGTTGAGGTTTTGAATTGTTCTTGTTTGATTGTTTTATTGCAAACAGCTGAAAGTTTGTAAATTTTGCTAATAAACCTTATTTGCAATGGATGTTGAATAATTTTGATTGCAACTGTATATATACACAATTATCTCAATTGAATGTCTAGTATAACATCACCCAGCCACTGCCCATCATCTAATCTAATACAAAACTGTATTAAGTCCTCAGATCAAGACTGGATGGGACTGCTTAACATGTTAGCCATCTTACTGAATGAAAATCAGTTCCAAAACTTTTCTACTGCTGTTATTATTAAATGGACTTCTCCTGGGGTAACAAAATAATAAAATCCCTGGGTCAACATAACTGTATTATGTCCCCAGATCAAGACTGGATGATGTTCCTTGGACTGTACATTTTCTGGCTAGCTTAATGAGGCATTAAAGCTAATAGATCAATTTCAGAACTTTGCATTTGCTATCACTATTATTAAATATACTGCTCCTGGGCTAACATAAAATAATAAAATCCCTGGGTCAACACAACTGTATTATGCCCCTGGATCAAGACTGGATGATTTTTCTGGGACTATATTTATAAATATTAGGCATGATTTTACTTGAAATGTAAAGGTCTAAGTGTGTTAGCTAGCTAGGTAGGTGCAAACAAGCTAAAAGTTCCAGTTCCATAACTTTGTTACTTTAAATGTATGAAAAAATGTTGGAAGAAATTGTTCCAAGCTAAATTTTAATGGAACATCAAATTAGTACTCAGGCTTACCATTAGGCAAGCCAGATAGCTTAACAAACCAAACTAAGGCTACCTACAATAAATGTTTAATTGTGTAAGTAAACCAGGATATGTGTGCGTGTGTGTGTGTGTGTATATATACATATATATATATATACACACACATATATATATTTGCAAGTAATTTATAATATAACTGAGTATACATTATTACTATATAATAGAAATTAGTTATCATAATAAATCTTAAATCTTAATAAAAATACAAATCTTAAAACAAACTTTTGTATCTTTACTGTATGTATGTGTGTGTCTGCATAGATAATATATGTATTTAGATCATTATTTCATTATTTTCGACTGCTTTTCGACTAACATTACTTTTATGAGGAGAGGCAGTTTTAATTGCCTAAGTGGTGACGTCTCTAGTTTACAAGTCAATTCAAAGTGGTACAAGCGCAGTTAATGCTGTGCTTTCTCTAAACTGTCCTTCATCTCCTCATACGTCGCTGTACGCTATCACTCAGTCCTGCTGCTCGGCCTGACCATGTGCGACCTATTTGATAACAAAGCAGCGTGCGGACACGCCCTCGTGACGCGCACACGTGTGGGCGGGATCTCGCGTTCGCTATCACGTACCAAGATGGCGGCGTCCATGGCGCTGAACTTGGACAATTTGCCTTCGGATCCTTTGCTGCTTATCTTATCGTTTCTGGACTTCAGAGATCTGGTCAGGTGTGTGTTTCTCGCCGACAGCAGTGCTGTCCATTTGATGCCGAAGAGATGCATTTGAAGCTTGTTTGTCTTCTCAGAAATGTCTGTGAAAGTGCGCTACTCTAGTGCCGCTGCGTTAGCTGCCTATGCTAGTTGAAGAAGTAGCAAGCTTGTTATGCTACTTAATACCTTACTAGCTAGCGAGCTATGTCAGTCAACCTCGGTATAATATGTAGTTAGTGTTTTTTATATATGTTAAGTAGTAAAATCTCGTTTAATAAATAGAGGAAAAAGTAATGTAGCTACCGCGCTAACTGTAGTTCTGTACTCTAGACAGATGTAAACAAGTTTCGCTGTAGTTGCTGCAGCCGATAAACCACTGTATAACAAATTCAGAACTGAAAGTTCCTGAAGCTGGATTATGGCACTGATATGATTTTGCATTAGGGGGTAAAATCTTTACTTATTTCGCAATTTAAGCGTAAAGAAACAAGCGTTTTCTGAGAATCAGCTCTTGTTGATATATGCGCTAAAACACAGGGGCATCGTCATCATTCTGAGTTTCTAGTTTAAGCCAATTTGATTCGTTTTATTGTATAATTTGATAGTGTACTTTACTAGCTTATTAGTGTACTTCACTTGTTTATGTTTTTTCTTTATAACATAGGGCTAAAACAGGGATATTTGACACTACTTGTTTTTCTCTCAGTTGCAGTCTTGTAAGTCGGCGCTTGAATGAGCTGACTGGTCATAATCCTTTATGGAAGGGGCTTTGCCAGAAGCACTGGCTTCTCACCGAGTAAGTCCACCAAGCAGTTTAGCAATCCACTTCAGTCTACAGCATGAGCTAAGCCGTTCTCCCTTTTTGTTCCTCGCATAAAGCGATTTATTTACACCGATCAGGCATAACATTATGACCACCTCCTTCTTTCTGTGCTCATTGTCCATTTTATCAGCTCCACTTACTATATAGGTGCACTTTGTAGTTCTGCAATTACAGACTGTAGTGCATCTGTTTCTCTGCATACTTTGTTAGCCCCCTTTTACCCTGTTCTTCAGTGGTCAGGACACCCATGAACCCTCACGGAGCAGGTGCTATTGGGTGGTGGATCATTCTCAGCACTGCAGTAACACTGACGTGGTAGTGGTGTATTAGTGTGTGTTGTGCTAGTTTGAGTGGTCAGACACAGCAGTGCTGCTGGAATTTTTAAACACTGTGTCCACTCACTGTCCACTCTATTAGTCACTCCTACCTTGTCAGTCCACCTTGTAGATGCAAAGTCAGAGACGATAGCTCACCTGCTGCTGCACAGTTTGTGTTGGTCATCCTCTAGTCCTTCATCAGTGGTCACAGGACGCTGCCCACAGGACGCTGTTGGCTGGATATTTTTGGTTGGTGGGCTATTCTCAGTCCAGCATTGACAATGAGGTGTTTAAAAACTCCAGCAGCACTGCTGTGTCTGATCCACTCAGACCAGCACAACACACACTAACACACCACCAGCACATCAGTGTTACTGCAGTGCTGAGAATGATCCACCACCCAAATAGCACCTGCTCTGTGAGGGTCCACGGGGGTCCTGACCACTGAAGAACACGGTAAAAGGGGGCTAACAAAGTATGCAGAGAAACAGATGGACTACAGTCTGTAATTGTAGAACTACAAAGTGCACCTATATAGTAAGTGGAGCTGATAAAATGGACAATGAGCATAGAAACAAGGAGGTGGTCAAAATGTTATGCCTGATGGGTGTATTTTTTATTTGTTTACAATGTATATATCACAGAAGGCTGCAATGTGAAAATGAGCTGTCTAGGAAATCACATAAGTTTTATGGCCAGTGGCCTTCCTGGCCAGTGACATACCTTCTAGATGAGTTTAGTGATGAAGACATTCACATAATACAACTGTATCACATAACACCATTAATCATGTTACATCAAAGGTTTCTGTTTGTTTTTTTTAATGTACCACAAAAATGTTTTAATGGGAACAGGTTATTTTATGCTTATTGTGCAACTCTGATGTGATTGTCACGATGCCTGTTTCCTCCGCAGAGCGGATAAGGCTCAGAGAGGGCAGAGCTGGAAGGAGCTGTTCCGGGAGTTTTATGCCGATTTAGGTCGCTACATTAATCACTACACCACACTGAAGAAAGCCTGGGATGACCTGAAGAGCTATCTAGGGCAGAAATGCCCCCGAATGATAGCCTCTCTCAAAGGTATGTCCAGGCATTCCCTTACGGAAGTGACTTATATAATAAGTATGGCTAGTATGGGTGTGAATTTTTAAAGAAGTGAGGCTCCGACAGTTATGGGGCATTACGGGGGTTGTTATTCCTTTATGATAGTGAGAACTAAAACATTGATATTGACATACGTTCCTTTTTTCTGTCAATAGAGGGCGCAAAGGAGGAGGAACTGGACGCAATTGAGGCTCAAATTGGCTGCAAGCTCCCTAATGATTACCGCTGCTCCTATAGGATACACAATGGACAGAAATTGGTGGTTCCTGGGTGAGAATCTACAATATGCATCATCAAAGCATCATGTACATAGCAAACTTAAAATGTTGTGGAACATGTCCATTATTGTTAAAGCTTTTACCCCACTTCCACCCAACCGTCATCAAAAATGGATAGTGTGGTTATTTATTTTGGACACTTTTCATTTTGAAGAATTAAATGTGAGTCTGTGTTTCTCAATTGTGTAAGTTTAGTTATGGCTGTGTTTTTGCCCTGCCCCCAGGTTGATGGGCAGTATGGCCTTGTCCAATCACTATCGCTCAGAGGACCTGTTGGACATCGAGACAGCAGCAGGGGGGTTCCAGCAGAGGAAGGGCATGCGACAGTGTCTCCCTCTCACTTTCTGCTTCCACACAGGGCTGAGCCAGTACATGGCCTTGGAGAGCACAGAGGGCCGCGTACGCAGTGAAATTTTTTACCACTGCCCGGTTAGAACACTCACTCCCTCTTACGCACCCTGACACTCTTTGTTAGTCTATCTTGCTCTGTCTCTTTCTTTCTCTGTCTCTCTTTCTCACTAGCCAGGTTTCCATTCATGTATTTGTATGCATATTTTGACATATTAATAAAAAAAAAACAAAAATATTATAAAAACATCAAAGATCAACTAAAAGTGAAGTGGACACAATTTTTGCCAATACCAAAGAAATATGATAGAGAGCCATGCAAACACATTAAATATGAAGCTACGAAACAGGACAGAAGTTGGAGGGTAACAGTGTACTGATGAAAAAATTAAAACATACCTTTATCTTATCAAAGACAAAACATAACCATGATATTAGATGGTAAACAGACATAAGGCTTCTGACTCTAACAGATATTTCCTGTGCCATTATTGTGCGTTCAGTTACTGTGCTCTTATGATATAAAATACAGCCATATAATGAACTGAACTGCAATGAGAAGCTGATTAACATTACATGACGTAGAGAGTTCTGTTTTATTCTCCGAGATTCTTAAGTAAACTTGGCACAAGTTGTGTAATTTTCTTCCACATTTTAGTTGTTTGCTGGAATATAACTTGACATTTAAACTGTGTACAAATCTGGGTAGTCATACACATGCTCACGCAGTGGAGGCTCAGTTGAACTGTTAACACAATGATTATGCATTTTTGTAATTTTTTGTGCTATACTAATATTCTACTGCTAATAATATATACTACGACTAATAGGGGTGCAACGATTATTCGACTTAGTCGACTAAAATCGACGACCAAATTAGTTGGCAACTAATTTAGTAGTCGAGGAGTTGGTGACGTCATTACGCGTCTTTCTCACGCTCACTAGAAACGTTTGGACATTACTGCTCATTGGAGACTTAACAACAGCGTGATGGCAGCCTCGAGAGCAAAATCCTCAAAAGTGTGGAAGTAAACTAAACTTAGAAAAAAAGGGTGTCAGTTGTGTTATTTGTAAATGCTATTTGGCATGGGAGCACATCCTCCATGTCGGAGCCTCTCAAGAGGAAACTTGTCGGCTCACTGGATGAAGAAGGTTCATCTTGGTAAGATACGCCCCGTCCCAAATCGCACACTAGCACACTAAATAGTGTGTAAAAATTGCGCATATACCATTAGAGGTGCACTCATTAGTGTAGTGTGTGAAGTACAGAAGTGTGTGGTTTGGGACGCGCCGATAGTTGTGCTAGCGAGCTAGTTAGTTAACCTTATGTTAACGCTAAAAGCCATCCGACTTCATGTTATGAACCGAGCTGTAACATTTTCATTTTCGAAATGCATGTTCTCTGGAATCGTTAATAGAGTTGGAACAGAGAACCAAGTAACTGTTATTATTATTTACAGTTATTTACCCTGTTCACTTTGCAGATAACGTTTACACTTTGAAACACTGCATCGTCGTCTTAACGCCGAGGTCACCGGTGCGTTCAGATTCGGCGAACATAGGAGAGCGTTTGCAAACAGTTTTCCGCGAACGCTTGGCACCACTCGCTAACAGTTGAGGTAGCTGGAAATGTTTTCACAAAATCGTTAAATTTAACTGTTCATAGAGAGGGTTGCCACAAACATTCGCAATTTTCCCATCCGCTCTATCAGAGCGCGTCTTCTCTCAGGGGAGAGACTCTCACAAGAGCACGGAGAGATGCTGACTTTCCTCCATTTCAGTAAAGACCTGTGACTATAGAATTTAGCTGCAGCAAAGTGTAGGCAGACAGCAGAGTGCACAGACTGCGCTGTATAAATTTAACATTGAAATTTAGGTTGATTTTTTTTTAGTTTTGTTATTTAATTGCTGCTACTTACTTTTACTTACATTTGAAATACCTTGGAGTTTTATTTTTTATCTTTTGTATTAGCAAAAAGTTCATTAAAACAGTGATTTCTTAAATGCTATTCATCTATACCATCTTTGTTGTTAGTTAGTAAATGCATAAAACAACCTCAAACTAAATTTAAAACCTAATAGCTAGTGATTCATAATCCGATTTAATCAATTATTTGTTTCAGTAATCGATAGATTATTCGACTATCAAATTAGTCGTTTGTTGCACCCCTAATTACTAATAGTGTTGTTTAGCTAATAATAAAGTTTTACATGATTCCTAAAGACTTTTACACACAGGTTTTCTGTGAGTTCATCATGGCCTGAATTATTCTTGGAAGATCTAGATAACGATATAAGATTGTTGAGAGCAACTAGGATAAAAAAAAAATGTATATTTAAATAGACTGATATTTTTCTTTAGCTACCAAGAAGTGTCTTAGTCACTTTCCCTTCCACTGTGGTGGAATCAGAGGATGTGTGTGCACGCTTAGAAGAGAGCATTGTTTTGACTCATTTCGTTGATGGTACTGCAATGCAGTTGTGCACAAACACACCAGCAGGAGGCACTCTCATCTCATGCACCTTGCAAACTAAATGTGTTTGTTTTATCTTTTTTTCTCACAGGATCAACTGGCACAAGATCCATCTGCTATTGATATGTTCATAACAGGTAGGACTTTGTCAAACGGCAAATCATGTGCACAGTTTAGTGTTTTGATTGATTAAATTTTTTTTTCCTTTGACACTGGAAACAAACAACAGAAGGTTTTAGAACAAGAGTTTAAAACAAAGAAAAGATATTACAAAATGAAGAAGAAACATTTAGATTAGATTCTGCACTGTTCATATTTCACTATTCAAACTGAAACAATTTGTTCAATTGACCCTGCATTTGTACAAAAAATCAGATTTTTTTTTTTTTTACTTATTTCTTCCTTTCAAACAGGTGGATTTGATTTACTGATCAGAGGCTTTTTCGCAAACTCATAGAGTTCATGCCAACTTGGGTGCACGTAGTCAATAAAGCCATACCAAATACTAATAAACTCTGCAATTGTTTCTTTTTAAAGATTTTATTTTTATTAGGCTTGTAGTGTAACTTATAATGAAAAAATTGTGTTAAATTAGAAAAGAATGCAAAACGTAATGCTGTTGTTGAAAGAAAAACTTGTCTCCGTTTTTGTTGTTTTTCATTTTTTGACATAATTTGAAAATGTCTGTTGCCCTTTACATTTGTGTGTAAATTTCATGATGAAGGGACCAAAAGAAACATCCCAAAACCTGAAAAAAGTCTGGTTCCATTGACTTACATTAAAAGTAATGTAGGTTTTTTCGCTTCTCCTGTAAAGTCAACCTTGTCTCCAAATAATTTCTTCCAACAACAGCAATAAGCATTTTCAGTAGAGGTCTCAGAGTTTTGAACCCCACTATAGTTACCAGATTATGTTAACTAACTAACTAACTATAGCTTAATTAATTACTTTAAAAAAAAGTCTCCCTCTCCCACTGTGACAGGGTCCAGCTTTACGGAATGGTTTACCTCATACGTCCAGAATGTAGTCACAGGAGAGTATCCCATCATTCGGGACCAGATCTTCAGGTACCTGTTTGTGTGTGTGCGTTGGTATCTATGCTTTTGTTCATATCTGTGATGGACACAAAATGAACACATGGCACATGGACTGTTTATGGACCTTTGTGAAAAATATGAATAAAGATGAAGTAATTATTTCAACATATTGGATCATACAGTGGATGTTCTTATATTGCTTTAATTGGATGTTGAAGGAAAAACACTGTTCAGAAGCAGGGACCAGCAACAAATTGGCCACTGAATGACAAATGGAAGAAATATAAAATCTAGAATAACACTCATCATCACTTACTTTGTTATAGGTACGTCCACGATAAGAAGTGTGTGGCCACTACTGGTGACATCACCGTGTCAGTCTCCACCTCATTTCTGCCCGAACTCAGCTCTGTCCATCCACCGCATTTCTTCTTCACCTACAGAATCAGGTAGGACACAGACATGCCCACTGCCCAGAACACTGCCCAACTGAGAGAGAAATCTGTCCAAAATTGTTTGCGTCATTCTAATCATCTGAATTCAATAGAGACTTGAGGCATCTGGTTCACATAGTAAACATACCATTAACGGTTGCCATGGGGAGGTAAATTTTTGGCCGTAATATTTTAACTTTATTTAAAATTTCTAAATTTATTTAAAAATATTTATGGTAGCTGTACCATGAGCCACAATACAGTGAGACTACGATATATGCTCCTGTTAAAGCCATAAGAGAGTCTGATTTCAACTTCATTTCAAAGGATCACAATCACCGAATCATCAGTCAAATTAAGGCTTGTGGTGAGTTTTGTGGTGAGTCAGTAATTAGGACGCTACCAGCTAATGTGAACCACACACAGATCATGTCACCATGCCATGCTGTACGATATAAAACCTTATAGATGAAGACAATTGCCTAAATATACAGTACTGGGCGAAACTGCACTGTTCAAGAACTGGCAGAGCACCAAAAATGTCACCATTAGATGAACAGTATTTAAGCTTTCATCTTTCAGAGACAGAATATCAAGCTCCACTCTTGCTTCAGATTTGAAAAAAAAGCAGGTATTTCTGTTCATCCTTTCTCTGTGAAAAGACAACTCAATGCTATGGGTCTGGAAGGATGTGTAACTATCTAGAAGCTAATACTGATAAAGGAAATTGATTAAAAAAAAAAAAGAAGAAGAAAATTTGCAAAACAAACAACTGTTCTGAGGAGAATGGACTGACCATCCATAAGCCCAGACCTCAAGATCATTGAATGTGTTTGGGATTATTTGAATCAGAGGAAGCAGAAAATGCCACCATCCTCCAAGACTTTGAAAGATTTCTTTGAAAAACTGAAAGCAGTTCTCCTGAAAAGAATGGAAGCTGTAATAAAGGCAAAAGATTGACACACCAAATACTGAATTTTGTAATTTGTAAATTTTTCATGTTAAATATGTTTTCTGCCTTTTCCAGATGCTGAAAAATGAATAACTTAATGGCCGTTTTGACTGAAAATTAAATAAATTAAGTAGTCTCTGTCTTCAGCACAGTACTGTATGGGTATATAATATGACAAATTAAAAGCTAGGGTAAAAGTATAACTTTTGTCTCTCAAACAGGAACATATTTAGTTGTAGCAGTGGCATCTAGAATAGTGACATTACAGTAGAAAAACTCAAAGAAAATACAAAAGAAAACTGATTTTGCCTCTCATTCTCTCACTTTGTGGGATATGAAATTCATTCCATTTTTAAAAGCATGAACACAGTCTTGTACCTTTGCCTTTTTGTCCATTTTTCCAAAACATAATAAATTAATGCAATTAAGGCTCTCTCATGTATGTACTGATGATTCCATGACACACAGATGGCTAAGAAACATTTTCTAATTATATTTGGTGCTCTGCAGTTATTTATAAAAATAATACGTTATCTGTGGTTCCCACAGTATAGATATAAATCTTCTGAATTAAAGTTGTTTCTGTACCCTTTAACCTCATCCTGACCTTCCTGACCTTCATAAAAAGTTTCTTTTCACTTCACTGGAGTCAGCATAACCAAAAATTGCATTGCCTTCGAATGACTTACAAATTAATCAAAAGAAGAAATAAATTAGGTAAACAAGATAAAAAAATAAACAAGAAAGAATACAAACTCTCCTAATTATGCGATTTTGAACTCAAAATACTTTTACAGAATTCTCTGACATTTTTGGCTTGTTTGTCAGGATTGAGATGGCACGGTCAGCACTGCCTGAGAGTGCATGCCAGCTGGACAGCCGTTACTGGAAAATCACCAATGCCAACGGAAACGTGGAGGAGGTTCGAGGGCCTGGCGTTGTAGGTAAGATATCCAGGATAGGTCACACACATCTTAGTTATACAGATCAGCACTATTTTTTTGGTGACTGATTGGTCTACGGTAGGGTTGTCATTTAAATTAAACTTGATTACCCTATTAAAAAATTTGTAAAAATTACCTTCTTGATGGATGAGTAGTAATTAGTTGGTAATTGCATAATTGGTTTCTAAGAAACCAAGCCTGTTAGACAAACTGATAGACCTTGAATGTAGGCCACACAGTGATTTTAAGTCTTATTATTTAAAAGTTTATGTATTTTATTTAAGTCTTTTTATTTATATATTTATATCCTAATTAATTTTTCTCTAATAGTGTTTTAAAAATCTTTGAAAGGGTGTATGTGGTTTGTTCTTGTTCAGCTGAAGTCAGTTTCACAGAGACAGCCCTAATCTATGTGCGAAACAAAGCAGGTTATCTAAAATACTATATGCATTTTAACTTTGTATGGATGCATACGTATAGGGGAATTTCCAGTGATGACCCCTGGTAAAGTGCACGAGTATGCCAGCTGCACCACATTCTCCACCACCTCAGAGTACATGGAGGGCCATTACACCTTCCACAGGCTTAAAAATAAAGAGGAAGTCTTTGATGTCTCTATCCCACGATTCCACATGGTGTGCCCACCCTTCCGCGAATCCATAGTTCGCTCGGTATGTAAGCACTTCTTGTACTGCACTGTGTTTGCAGATTTTTTTTAGTTGTTGCATAGTTAAATAGATAGAGAAAATGTATTTATGCACTTAAAGGTAAGCATACAATCCTTTTTTTTTTGTTTCAAAGAGATCATAATTTTTTACTTCTAAAGAAACTATAGGCAAAACAGATGAAATTCACCTCTCATCTCACACAAACAGATATATTAACTATTCGGAAGAGAATTCCACACATTTTTCAGAATTTCTACCTGCAGTTGTTGAGAAAGGAGTAATTCAAAGGGATTTTATGTGAAATGGTGGATTTACTGCAATTAGTACCGACAAGAGCCGTGATTTTAATCCAGTACAAATCTGCAATGTCTTTAGTGTTTACAAGTCTGCTAAGTAATAACTCCAGAGCAAATTATCTTCTATAATTCGTCAAACTCAGCGCTCCTTCAGACATAGTAGTAATAGTAGTTCTGTTTGAATCAAACTCTCTAATATAGTAACTCATTAGTAAGACACATTGGCACTGTTTTCTGGTGACCGAGAGGTGAGGCTAACCACTAAAATGGAACTTTTGGCACAGTTCCTTTATCCACAAATTCAAAACTTCTGTAATCTAAAATTCATACTTCTGTAATCTAAAACATTTAGTGGGTGGTGGGCTAATCAGAAGGAGAAAAATTGAATTTAATTTCTGACATTAACTGGAAATTTGTTCTTGTCGTTTGTTTGGATCCACTTAATTCTAATATTAGCGCTGATGGGGAAAATCCAGGCTTTGACGTTTTGATCTGGGCTGTGGGAAAATTATACAGATACTTTTTTCCATAAAAATCGGCCAGTCAAATCCCTTACTAATTTCGTTACCGGACCTCCTCTGGTAAATCTAATCAAGTATTATAAATATGTTACCATTTAATTATGCTGTAATAAGTTAAAAAAAAAAATTGCGGAAATGCCCTTTAAGTGCCCCCCCTCCAAAAAATCAATCAGTAATAAAAAGAAGAGGTATTGGGAGTGTTTTTGTTTTATTTTGTTTTATTTTTAAATACAAATTTGCGACTGTTTTAAATATATCAGATTTGCACCATTAAGACACTGAAAATAAAATGTCAAAAGCACTGTGCTTTTCCATATTTTTTTGACCAATATAGACAGAAAAGCAAATGCAATTACGTTTTGTATTTGAAATTGTATTATGTCATAAATAATGCACACTCCCATGCATTTGTAAATACACAATTTATTTAGCATTTTCAAATTTGCTTTTGAAATTGACAAAAGTCCTGAATATACTGCCATATTGGTTGGCTTCTGTAGACAAATGTTTGCAGACTTTGTTACAGCTCTGGTCTGTTACTTTGTTACAGATCTGTTATGGCTTTTGTATGTTGCTCATCTCTCTATTACTTTCTTTCTTTCTTTCTTACTCCTTTTTGTCTTTCTTTCCTCAGAGCTCAGTTAGTGAGGTGTCTGTTGCTCCTTTCCATGATGACAACTCCTCAGATACAGATGACTACGAGGAGGGAGAGCTGCGGGGTATGAACATGGCCGACCCCGGGGGCCGCTGTCCTCGTCACATCTGATGCACTTGTTACTTTCCCTCTCTCTCGCACATACATCTTCGCACATACATCTTCACACATACATTCACACATACACAAACAGCAGTGCAACGGGGAGCAGTGTTTTTTAGAATTCCATTGTTTATTATACAGAGGCTTTGTGTCTGTCCTCTCGTGAACCTTCAAACCCATGTGTGCGTGTATATGTGAATAACGTTCTGAGAGAGAATGAGTGACAATGCGACACTATAGTCGCAGTGTTCACTCTCAAAAAAGCTTACGAGAAAAGACTTGCAAACACGCACACACACAGCACTCAGTAAGCTTTTGTTTTGTACACACTGCCTGCACTGTTGTCAGCTCTGAACTTTATGCTCAACCAAAAACAAAGAGACTGACACTAGCTCTAGTAGCTAATGGCAAATACTCAGACCAGCGCCGCTCCCGAAATATAGTATTCTTCAAAGGGCCCATCATGGAGTAATGATATTTTCCTCACTTCTATGAATAAGAATACATTGGTGAATGTCAGAATCTTTGTAAAAACTGTGTGTGGGGTTTTAGACGAAATTTCTTCTAAAGAATGGCTGGTGAATGAGGCCCGTTGTTTCAAAACATATCATTCCCGTCTATATTTGGAAGCAGCAAAAACAGCCTATTTTTAAATTGCTGTTTTTGATGTTTTTTTGATGTCATACATAACATTTACATATATCCACCTGTTCAGCATACAGCAGTTACTAATAGTGTTACAACCTGGGATTCTTTGTGAATGAGGCGCAATACAGGGCAGCCAATCATACCAGAGCTCATTTACATATTCATTTACATGTCATCAGTTTTAAGACACAGTAACAAAAACAACTTGTTTAATGCTAAATGCTAAAATAGGTTGGAAAATTATTAGTTAAAATGAATTATGGCTGCGTATGGTATATAAAACCCTAAACGGACATTTTGGGGGTGGGGGGTATACAAGAATGATATAGGATATGGGCCCTTTTAAGAAAAAAGAACTATTAACTATTATTGGGCTGTACAAATTACAATGAAATTAGTGTTTTTGTTTTCCCTTTCCTTTGTGGCTTAATTTAGCACACCTGTCGAAATTGAAAGTTGATTGCAGATTAACAGCTCTCAGCAGCCTTAACCAGCACAAAACATTGTTTTTCGTTTTATTTCTTTCATTCTGTCAATCAGCTGGATATATGACTGAGCAAAAACATGGCTTTCCTCGAAATCTACAGTGATAGAGGTTTAGTAGTGAAATGACAGTAGCAGAACTCTCCAACTGAAGTAGCTCTCACCATTACCCAATTGCAGGGCTGCTCAGTCCTGGTTCTGGAGATCTACCACCCTGGAGAGGTTACATCCCACACACTCTTGCTCTAATAGTCAGATTGAAGGCCTTTATTACCTGGATCAGGTGTGATAGATTGGAGTTGAAGCAGTTTATCAGCCACTCTCTACCCCATCCATCAGTGAAAAGGGGCCCTCAAAAGAACCTTCACTGAATAGATGTGATTTGGGTAGTCAACCATTCTCAGCATAGCAGTGACACTGACATGGAAATGCGCTGCTGTTTGGACACTAGCTCATCTTTTCTGCACTCAATTAGTGTTTGTCATCCTCTCGCCCTTCATCATGGATCACTTTCTGATCATCACATGGTTGCTAGATGTTTTGTGGATGAAGTTAAAAACTTCAGCGACTCTGCTGTGCCTTGAATCAACACAACACAACGTACCATGTCATTGTTACTGTTGCGAATGGTTTACCTCTCAAATAATCTGGTCGGTGTTTTTTTTCTGTGGTGATGGATAGTGTGGAGGTAGATGGGCTTCAGTTAGTAATTATAAACCGTCAAAGTGCTCGTAGTTGGTAGGTGTGCCTCATAAATAAGCCAGTGAATGTAAGCACAAGGCACCAGTCAACTCAGTGTATATGCAGCCTATTTGGGAAATAGTGACTTGAGGCACACTGAATCTGCAGGCCTGTAAGTGAAGTATGTATTTCTCCAATGTGTCAACATGATTTGGCCTATTATAAGAATAATTTTTTCTGTGTTCCCTTTGGTATATACAAGAATTTTTTTTCACATTGTTTAAGATCCCTGGCAACACTCTGACCATTGCAAAAAACACAGTAACTACATGAGATTTAGCAAAACAGGTTTCTGTTTTTTTCCCTTAAAATGTATTCCAAGTGACATGGCAGCCAAGTAATGTTTCTAAGTAACCTCAAATAGTCAGAGCTCAGTTTACGTTACGTTATCCACCATGCCCTGAATGAGAGTGAGTTTGGCCCTGTTTTACTTAAGTAGCCCTCATCATACAGACATACATAAACACAGACAATATTAAACTGGATTCAAGCATTGTTTTACACTTCATGCACATTGAACTTTTCTTTTTGCATTAAGGCAAGTGGTGGAAAAAGTGAAGGCACCACTCTCTCTCTTTTTCTCTTTTTCCCACATACGCACACAGTTGTACAGGCTCTCTTGTTTCTGTAATCAACCATGAGCCATCTCTAAAGGAAGGCAATGTGAGTTAAATAGATAGCCTAAAGGCATATAAGATTTTTGATCTTTGTTAGTAATTGATAGTTTGCTCTTCTTTTTGTTGTAAAATAATGCAGTGCAATAGGGTTTTCAAGCTATCTGCTATTCTATTCTGTCAAAGTTCTGATTGTGTTGTAAATGTGTGTTTTTTATGTTTGAGTAAATAAACAGGAAATTATGTATACTTGTGTGCAGAGGATCTTTACTCTTTTGTGGAATACATTAGTCTCAAAAGATTATTGTTCTCGAAACACAGAATGTGTAGCATTCAGACCCCACCCATCATGCCCCTGCCTGCCTTTCTTTTCTTTCTATTGGTGCCAGTTTGGATGCTGTAATCGTAGTGAGATGAAGAGTGCTTTGTTAGTTGTCTGATGTGGCTTTGTGTTGCCGCTTGTTTTGGGCCACAGCTCATCCTGTTGAGCCCATGCCCTTACTTTTCATACAAAGAGTAGCAGCCAATTAGTCCTCTGGCTGCAATCACATGGGTCAAAAACCTGCATGGGTCTTACAGGTAATGGTCATCAAGGTCTGTTTAAAGATCCTCCCAGCCCAATGTCATATTGATCATGGGCCAGGCTGTTTTGATGCTGGATCCATTTGAATAGGGAGTTTTCTGGATTACATTTGTGTTTAATTTATTGAAAACTGCACAGTGCAGTGAAGTAAGGATTCTAAATTGCAGGGACACTTCAAAACTAAGTCTGGAATTCACTGATTAAATATGAAATGGCTTTTAGACTTGCTTGAATCACAGTGACTTGAGACTATGGCATCACGGATTTGCTCTGCATGCCTGGGTTCATTTAGTTCAGAAAAAAACAATGTGTAGTGTTTTATGGAATGTTATTTTAATGTTAGTTTTAGGTTATGATTTATATTTGCATTTTAGGACTTCTATTGTAAAGGCTGGGGCTAAGACCTGCCAAGGCTGTGTGGTGCAGCTAGAGTAATGAGAGGCAATACCACATTTCCCTCTTGTAAACCCTCAAACTCTGAATTCTAGATGATACATGAGTTTATGAGATGTGACATAAAAAACTGATCTTTAACCCTTTACAGATCTTTATGCTTTTTAACCCAACAAAGAAAAAGCAGGATATGTTTTCTCCGGACCTAAATGTTTTCCTTTCTCATTTGGTAGGCATATCTATGAACAAGCATACAAACAGAGTTTAGTCTTACTTGCTAACCATCTGGTATCTACAACCTTCTGATGAGAACCTGAATGCAGCATTTGCTAAAAGCAAGAGCCGTGAGCTAAAAGTTAGAGAGCATGTTGTTTGCTAGTATCATTTTTCATTTGTGTAAAGTGATAAAGTTTACGTTATCTTGTGTATCATCTAGAATTCCAAGGGGTGAGTTCAATCTATTGATATGGCCTTCTCAGTTGTCATAATTGCAACGCTTGCGTAACACAACACAGTGTTCAATGCACTACAGTTTTGGATTAAATAAACCTTTTCCTACTTTTTTGGGGCTGCATGCAGACCAGTTTTAAATACAACTTTGTCCATTATAATTTAGCACAATTTACTAGCGGGAAAAATGCCGACACCACTTGAATGCAAGTAAAGCTGTATATTGAGCAAGAACTTTGAGTTGTCTGAGCTTCGTCTAATAAGCCCACATGCTACAGTATTCAATTAAAAAAGACAGAAGCTGAAATGTTTTAAAATGATTACTAGCAGTATTAACATTGGAAAAAAAATTACATAATATTAGTGATGTCGAGCGCCACTCTTACGTTATGTTTTGATACTATAGAACCCTTTTACTGAGACAGTAGCTACTTCATGATGGTGTTATAAATGTGCAATACATCTCTTGGGTAATAATTATCTGAGCTTGAAAATAGCCCTCCCAAATCTGGTTTTGTACTTAAAATACAGAGTGATAAATTCCTCATAGTATTAAGAGCCAACTGCGCCAAAAACAAAAGCACTCGTGAGCATCTTTCACTTTAAGGTTTGCGTTTAAAACGTCTACATAGGTAGGCAGAGAAGCTAAGGCGACTAAAAATGGCTGAAGAGGACTGATCAGAGCCGGTTCATGAGGAGCCTGGCCACTTCCTGTTCCTCTCGTTATATCAAAAACAAGACCTCTAAACAGCAGAGGGCGCCCGCGAGTGAGTCCTCAATGAATGGGAAGAAATGGCGCTCAACGGCTAAAAACGAAAAGTTAAAATAGTTTCTAATCACTCGCCCAGAACGTTTCTTTAATTTTAGAAAGTAGAAAGATGTATTTTACTAAAAAAAAAGAAATCTTACCTATATATTTCCTTTTTTCTACAGCAAACGGATTTTGGGCAGCAGGAGGCGGGCTCTATCTCTCTATACGGCTCTGGAGGTGCCGTTTTAAACTCTTATAACTCGAGTTTAAAAGCTCTCCAAAATATAACAGCAGTCTTAAAATGATTTATGATGTTCAGTGTTCATGAAATGATTGCATTCTTTTACATTAAAAATGTTTAAGCATTTATAAACTATGATTTTGCTCAAATGCTTCATATGAACCCATTCATTTTGGACTCACTCGGGAGCGCCCTCTAGCGTTTGAGAAAACCGGAGGACATTGCAGAGTGGGAATTCTCATCTCTACAAGTTCTCTGGACTGATCACCATCACAGCCAGCATTCCTTGTGGGCGGTCCCAACACTTCAGCTCCTTTGTGCTCCCACAGACAGACTGAGCGAGACGAGCGAGCGGACGGGCTGCTGGAGGCTCTCAGATAACGGGTGAGTTAAGATTGTTAAGACAGCTCGTTGTCACTCCGGTTAATTGGGTGACTGATTCAGCTGGTAATTTATAAGAAAATTCAATTCAGCGTTTCTGGCCTGCAAGCGTTTTGCTTGCTGCGTCACTACTGCACTTGAGATACAAAAATAGACGGATATTCACTGGATAAGAAGCTTCCAGCGTTGTGTTGCTTTAAAGTGGATTCGGTTTTATCGAAACGAGTTTTCAAATAGAATTCACCACATGAACGCCATTTTCAGCATGACGAAGGGTAACGGCCAGCTGTCAGATAACTGTACAAAATAAGCGGTAATGGTACAGTTTTTAAACCTGCTTAACCCACGTTTTATTTCTGCCTTGTCGAGGAACACCAGTAAAGTAGTACAACGCCTGAAGACGGCAGTTAGATAATACAACACATTTCACAGGCTCTTCTGTTTGTGTTTTTGATTCAGTCTGCTGTCACCCCGTAACGCAATAACGCTCACCTGCATTTTTTCTTCATGCTTTATTGAACAGAGTAATAATGTTCATAAAAAGAGTGACAATTTAACAGCAACTGAGTGCACAAGAGTTACAAAAAATATCAATTTATAAGTGGTACTGTGTACAAGAGAAACATTTTTTTTGACTGAATTAAGGGGTGCATATACATTTCAAGGTCCTTTTTAAAATAAAAAATAGATAGATGCAATAGATACAATCTCAAAAGAGATGGTTAGTTAATTCATCATATCAGTGACCGAGGGAGCAGTCTGACATTAGCAGGGTTGAATTTTACTAGTTTATATATAGTGTATATTATTTATTGGATAACAAAGGAGAAAATCTTTGCTAAGCATCCAAATGTACTTAAAAGCTATGTTGTCAAACTTGTTATTGCAAAAGCTAAAACAAGCAGAAACATATTTGAGTTCTAAGCTGTCAGTTTTAGTACATTAGTAAGAGCAGGGAGATGACTCTGCTGGACCCTGCCTCTCAGGTCGCCACCCCTGATTTAGAGTTTTAGTTTAGCGTCTGTTTAGTACATAAGTCAACGTTTTCTGTGTTCCTGTGCAAGACCAACATACTAGGGGATTTAAAACAGAAAAAAAATGGTTACATACAAAATAAAAAAATTTGCTTGTCATGCCAATGATCAACAAACCATGAAATTCTGTCGAATAAGTAAGTAAACCAAATGAAATCAAATTACAGTCTTCCTAGATGTTTATGGTAACCTAAAGCAGATTTTCTGTTAGGCTAGATATTTTTTCCCACTGTTTACTCTTATTTGCTCTTGTCACAATGCATTGCCAAAACAAAAAGTTGTAGGTTATAAACAGGTCCAAAATGATTCTAAGTCAGGAAGAGCTGTCAATAGAGGAGACATGCTGTAGTCTGTCACCTTATGCTCAGTCAGCACCATCCTCTGATTAAAGGTAGTTTACAACAGTCTCTGATGCCATATTGCCTTTCTGGACCATTGTTGGTTACATTATCTAGACGAGACCAGACGAAAGTCGCTTATTCTTGAGCTCCTGTATAAGTTTGCTGCGTCGTGGAAATAAACACTGGTGGACCACATATGCAGTAACTGTCTAGGCTGGCTGGGTATGGCTTTAGCTGTTTTTTTACACATAGGCCAAATGCTGCTGTGGCACATTGCTGCCCTCCAATGTGTGTTGTGCTGATTGTGGATATAAACAAAGGTGGAGCAGAAGGACAGCAGTGCTAAGTAGAGATGAAACGATATTAAAATTTCATATCATGATTATCATGACCAGAATTATCACGATTATCGATATTATCACGATATTGTTCAAAAGCGTTGAAAAGTAAAATAAATAAATACTGATACACAAACTGAAATTCGTTTCACCATTACTATTATTATTATTACTGTTGTAAATTATTATTATTATTACTGCTGTAATTATTATTATTATTATTATTATTATTAATTACAATAATTAGGGATTTCCCTGCATAGAGAATTAAATCTCCACCAACTCTGAGGTGGGTCTTAATGGAAAATTATTACTTCTAAGAAGTGTTGCACTCGGGGGATTTCTGTCCTAACTGCAACTGCAGCATTATTGTGCCGTTGTGGCGCTGAACCCCTAATCAACACTGCACCAGGAAAAACAGCCAAAATCACAGAGGAATTGCATGACCGTGCTGTGAGCTGCAGACAGTGTAGAACTCACACAGCGTGTCTCCACCTGTTGAGCTGCTTCTCTAAAAGCATTTTAAAACTAAAACATAACTTAAAATTAACATGCATCTGAGCTGTGGCAGAAACACTCCTAAAGTTTAATCTCTGAAACTCTGCTTTTCCCAAAAGCGGCACACAGCGTTTACTCGCGCAAGGTCCCGTCTCAAAGCACACTATCTTAGTGCACTTCGTAGATCATGAAATAGCAAATCCTTCACCCAAAGAGTGCAAGAAATGTTCGACTAAGTCATCTATAATCAACATTAACAACAGGTTACAAATTCACTATTTAAAACTCAACTGCTTGTTAATGATGATCGTGTTTGTTTGAACAGTAGCGCACTATGTAGGGGACACTGAGTGATTTGAGACAGTTATTCTCTTCTCAGAAAGTAAACACAGCAAGCGAGAAAGGGGAGCTGTGCAGGTTGAACCTCTGCAGCGTCTCGTTCCAGAGCTTGTGTGACTGTTAACTCAGAGCTCATTTTGGAGACACTGCTCCACAGAAATATGTGTTAAAAGCTTTAGTTTCGATTCACAGCTGATTCACCGATTGTTTTTTTTTGTTTTTTTTTGACGCTAAAAGCTTCATTTTATGTTATTAACGAACCATAAGCATAAGTTAAACCACACAAACCATGACATTTCTTCTATTGCGAAGTCTCCACAGACTTCTCCGTTAAAGTTAACCTTGCATTCTCTAAAAAGTAGCAGGTGGTGGTCGCGAAGATGACTCGTAAGGTTTGATGTGCTGCCCCCTTTCGCCGCTATTTTCTTTCGGCCTGTTCTGCAGACAGGGTGGTCATTTTCAATTAACTTGCCTTCTGCATCCTTATAAAACCCAAAACATGACCAAACGTCAGACTTGGTCTTCATAGAAGGCTGAAATATCTCCGAATCTGTCACTACATTCCGCCATGTTCTCTCTTCTCTCCCTCTCACCCCTTCTCACCCAATAGGTCTTAAATAAATTAGGGATGTACCAATATGGAAAATGTGGGCTGATACCAATATCTGATATTTTTTTTATACAACAGTTAGTTCTGGCCACGCAAGCTGATTGCTTGAGAAGTGTTCTAGCCATGCTGTTATTTCGCCATTACATTACAGTTTTTTCACAAACACTGTATCACTCCATTGAGACGCCGTTGCTAAGCAATGACTTTGACAGCTTTAGGAGACGCTCATGCCATTCAAACGTTTTTACTTCTTACTTTCTTACACAAACAGAAAATGGATACTTTTAAGATCACAGTTGACTTACAGCCGATTTAGTCAGACTCTGAAGATGAGACTACACTAAATTCCGAAACTATCATTACCACTGAGCAAGCTTTTCAGTCTGCAGCTGTGACAGAAGCACAACTAAACAACCTGGAATTAGCCAGAAATGAACCGAATACCATTCGCCAAACAAAATGGGCTGTAAGATGCTTTACAGACTGGCTGGAACAAAACAGCTTTAATACTGATCTAGCGAAAATCACAGCTGTGATGTTATTTCGTGATAACACACTCCCTCTCGTGTTCTATTGCTTAAATATACATATCTGCTGAAGCTGATATTTTTCTAGTGCATATGTGCTGATGCCAATACAGGCACATTTATAAACGTAGAAATTGGGCTTGAATCCACCTATATTAACACTGCAGAGAAATGTAACACTTATTTGTAGAAAGCAGGGGTAGACAGATATTAAATAACTGCACTGGATACACTTGGCATCAAGCAAATTAATCTTGTAGCCAGAATTATGGAAACCATGTTCATGGTGCATACGTTGTATTTTCAATGATTAAGCATGTCTCAGTACCAAAACCAGTCAGATGTTGCTTTAAAAAAAAATGGCCTTTGGAAAAACAAATTTTCCTCACCTTTTTAAATAACAGAAAATATGTAGTTGCTAAAGTTTCAAAAGGAAACAATTGGCTCCCCAGTCCATAGAATCTGTTTATAGAAACCAAACAAAAAGAGCCTGTTTTAACCTCTACCTGCATTATTTAAGCCCCGCCCATTCACACTGAAGTTATAAGTAATTTTTTGACCCATATTACTTTTTGAATAAGGCACAATATTGGGCAGCCAATCAGAACAGAGGTCATTCACGACAGAGAAACAAAAACGGCCTGTTTAATTCTAAGAGATAAAGAGAGGTTGAAAAATGGTCATATAAAAACGAATTATGATTTTTGGTACATATAAATCATACAAATTTTATAAATGGACCTCAGAAAAAACAGAAATAAATGTGGTATAAAACTTTTAAAAACCTCTCTGTCAGGTTTGCTATCGCTGTGGTAACGTTAATGTTACAGCCGGTACATTCCGATAAAATCTGATTTGATGCAGTTAGTTCCATGCCCGCCAAACAAACTGGGTGAAAAACAAAGGGTGAAAAGTAGTTGTTTTGTTATTAATGAGGGCTATTTGTGAAAATATGACATTTCAAAGGGCCCTGTGGTCTGTTTAAAGGGAAAAAAGGTCATATTCACACAGGATTAGAAAGTGTGTAATCTGTTTAAACCGTACGTAGGTCTCATGATATACGCGCCTTCACACTGGACTAACATCAGAGAGAGCTACAGTAGTTTCTATTTAAAATTCTTTTTGCGTTAGTAGGTGATTTTGCAGCATCAGACACTGACATCCAATTGCACGCATTTCCTTGCAGCATGTTTTATGGGTCTGAAGTGAAACACTTCTTGGTTATTTTGCTTAATAGTCAAATACTTTCAGTGTTGGTGGTTCTTGGCCATGTTAAGTTACGAAACGCACCTCTAAATGCTAGGTGAAATTTTTAAAACGTTATATGGACAGCATTCAGGTATTCAGGCTCTATTGTTCTTCTCAAAGTGACAGCGCATTTAGCCAGCAGGATTAGTTAAGGAATAGAACATGAGAGGGAGTGTGTTATCGTGAAATAACATCACGGCTGTGATTTGGCCACAGGCACGTGCCGAAGGCGATGTGATGTTGTTCGCGATAACACACAACCTCGAGTGCTCTATTGCTTTTATACAACAGTTAAATAAATAAAGTAAGAAATAAATAAATTGGGCTGTGAACGTGGCATTTAATATGTTTTAATGTTAGCAATTCCTTCTGCCAAATTATAGTTCCTTAACAAGCAGCTTGTTGCTACGTCAGAGTAACGTGCTTCTTACACTAAATTTTGAAACTGTCATTACCGGCAGCTGTGACAGAAGAACACCTAAACAACCTGGAATTACCCAGAAATGAACTGAATACCATTCGCCAAACGTGTAGTCTCGTCTTCAGAGTCTGACCAAATCGGACTGAGCCATAAAACTGCCACAATATCAAGTTTAGCTCAGTTTTGTCAATTTCTGCTAGATCAATATTAATGTTGTTTTGTTTCAGCCAGTGTGTACAGCATTTTACAGCCCATTTTGTTTGGTGAATAGTATTCGGTTCATTTCTGGCTAATTCCAGGTTGTTTAGGTGTTCTTCTGTCATAGCTGCTGACTGAAAAGCATGCTCAGTGGAAATGACAGTTTTGGAATTTAGTGTAGTCTGATCTTCAGAGTCAAATCAGCTGTAGGTCAAATGTGATTTTAAAAGTATCCATTTTCTGTTTGTGTGCAAAGTAAGAAGTAAAAACGTTCAAATGGCTTGAGCGTCTCCTAAAGCTGTCCAAGTCATTGCTTAGCAACAGCATCTCAGCGGAGTGATACAGTGTTTGTGAAAAAAACGTGATGTTATGGCGAAATAACAGCATAGTTAGAACGCTTCTCAACCAATCAGCTTGCATGGCCGGAACCAACTGTTGTATAAAGTGTAATAACCTAGGCCTATATGTAAATGTGCATGTCACCTCTGGATCTAAATTCCAATTGATAATAGGCCTGAGCGACGATAGGGCAGTGTAACTGAGATAAGTAACCCGATGGCGATGTGTAAAAGGCGTTTTGGGAAAAGAACAGAGAGAGAACTAGAGAGGATTAATTTTCTGTTAAGTGGCTTGTAAATATTTTACCATATAGAAAAAGATACAACTGCTTCCACACAGACTGTTGAGCTTTATTTAAGGCTTTATTTGGCTACCTCTAACTTGCTTGCCTGCCAACGATAAATCTGACACATCAACACAATGAAAGAGGCTTCATATAAGAGTCATTGTAGAAATAAACCCAGAAAATAACTGCAGCAGAACAGATATTTCAGAATAAGCATGTAAACACTTTCTGAAATTTCTACAATATCAAGTCATTTTTTTGTTGTTTTGTTGTCAACTTCATTTTCTCTCTGCTAGGCGCTGTAATGCTAGCTTTCCCTTACTGTACGTAAATCTAAGCTTGCCTCAAAGTGACTCGCTGCACTAAAACACAAGCTAAAGTTGACTAGATATTACTCTAGAGCAGCTAAGTTAACTCAAACGTGGAGGCTACTGCGTGTGACGTGAGTAAAATGTGCAATTTCCTGTATAGCTTAAGTGTGCGGGTGGTCAGCTGAAATATATTGTATCGACATTGTATTGTTTATAATATGGAAAGCGCGTGGTCATAGCATTTAAAACCACTTGCAGTCAGAGGTTTCTCCAGCAGGGAGTGCTATTAGGATGCAAGTCGCCATGAAATCTGCAACTAGCAGAAGCTTGTCGATAATCACAATTTTGTTAACTAGAAAAAAAATGTTTTCATGCTTTAATGTGTTCATTTTTTTGATGTCGCCCAGCATTAACATTAGCATTACCCTTCACAGAAACTAAAGGGCTGAGCCCAAGCCCTGAAAAACAGCCCCAGACCATAATCTCTCCTCCACCAAACTGTACTGTTACTTTACTAGGCATTCCGGTAGGTAATGTTCTCCTGGCATCTGCCAAAGCCAGATTCATCCATCAGACTGCCAGTGAAGATTCATCACTCCAGAGTACATGTTTTCACTGCTTCAAAGTCCAGTGCTGACATGCTTTACACCACTCCAGACGATGCTTGACATTGCGTATAGTATATGTGTATAGTATAATATATAGCGTATACTGCTTTGTGGCTGAGCTGTTGTTGCTCCTAGACCCTTCCATATAAAATCAAGCTGTGTGCTAGATATATATACGCACACACACCCATTTTGTATGTCCATGCTTATTTCAAGGTGACAATGGCAAGCCGCATTCTACATGTGTTACAACAGCATAGGTGCAAAATCAGAGAGTGTGGGTGCTAGACTGGTTTGCTAGACAAACAAATGTCTGCTTTTAAAAGCAGATCAGTCCCTGAACAGTTAAGTGTTGTTAAAAGGTTTTCAGTTTCCAGTTTCTTGCATAAAGGAAAGCTGAATAGCACTGAGGAAGCCATATTGATTTCTTTTTCTGATATTTATGTGGGTGTGTTTGTATACACTGGCCAGTGTTTCATTTTATCTTGACTGCCTGGCATCTGCCATTTCTATTAAACAATGTTTTACTAGACTTCTTGTAAAGTTTTAATCTATAGCTGAATAATAAGATACAAAAAAGTGGATTAAAAAAGGAAAACATTAAAGAAACTCCTTCTCAGAGATTAAATAGAGCTGACAGTTGTGAACCATAGATGAAGAAGCAGTTGACTAAATTTCTCTGTTAAAATAACTTGGGGATATAGTATGACATGCAATAGGGTGATATAATTTTACAGTGAATTTAAATTTGTTAATGCTATGTAACTCAATATTGAATAAGACATTATAATATGTATAAGAACGGTTATAGGAAATAATCATTATTTCTTTTATTATTTTATTATGATCTGATTGGATGTTCTATGTGGGTGTTTTAAGTCTTGTTATTTACCAAAAAGTAGAACCACTGAAATTTTCACTGTGCTAATCCTGGTTAAATATTCATATACTTTTACACTTCTATATACTGGCAGTCAATGCAGTAATGAAAAAAGCTGGGACTAATTAATAATTCATAGTGTGTACTTTATATGGTTTTAACATTCAAAATGTTCAAAAATGAACATTTGAAAAATGAAAGTGGATATCATCATAAGTTAATGAGTAATTTCTTCTCTCTCTCTCTCTCTCTCTCTCTCTCTCTCTCTCTCTCTCTCTCTCAGAAGTCTACTTGCTGCAAGATGAAAGGCTTTGTGGGAGTGAGTGTGGTGTTTGGTATAGCCCTGCTTGGTCTGGGTATGTACGGCATACTTGTGCTGCAAGGCAAAAGTGGTTATTGGAGTTAGCAGAAACATCCTTTTTTCTGTGCACACTATCACAATCACAATCTCAATCACAGCAACCTTAAATAAATATCACTACCTCATCAAATGAAATCAAATAAAAAATAAAATAAAATAAATAAAAATCAAATAAAATAAAGTAATTGTGACTAATGAGCTTTCCTGGATTACCCTTTAGCTTGTTTAGTTGGTTAGCCTGTGAAATACACAGACCATTTTTTTTAGTATTTCAGCAAGTGTCAGTTTCAGTGTCCTATGAGATGTGAAAACATCATCATGTCACTTTTATGCCATCTTATCCTGCTTTATTTCAAAGCAGAAAATAATCAAAATTTAGTTTGCTTAGATGGGCACCAGACCTGTCCAGGGTGTATCCTGCCTTCCGCCCAATGACGGCTGGGATAGGCTCCAGCACCCTCCCACGACCCAGAAGGATAAGTGGTTTAGAAAATGTGTGTGTGTACGTGTACATGGGCACCAAATGAGCCCTCATTCAATAAATGTCAAACGATCTAACAATTGCTAAACTTTAAACATTGCTGTAACAAGGACAGGGCTGGTTAGCATTAGCTTAGCTAGGATGATAACTGCTGTGCTCACCACAGAACGTATTTGATTCTGACTAACTAAAACACCAACACAATTTAGATGATAATGGTTAAAATCTGAGAGAGAGAAGTCAGTCAACGGGTGTTAAAGAGATAGAAAGGCAAAATTAAATCTGTTCTGTGGTGTTTGGATCTGGAGCTTGATCGGCCAACTTAACCTTAGCTTAGTGAGCAGGCTACAGACCCAACCAGTGCTGTACACCACAATACTGATTTGAGTTGGCTGTACAGGCCATTCATACTGCTGTACTCATTTATAAATACTAGCATAGTTTTTAAACACCATGGTTTACCTTATTATCATTATGCCATCCATCCCTGTGTTGGAGAGTGGTTAAGACAGTGCACTCCCAGAAGCTTGTTATGTAGGAAGACATTGTGGCTGAATGTTTGTGTCAATTTAATAAAAACTTTCAGAAAGAGTTTACATATTTGAGAAAAGATTTCTCCTGGTTCTGTCTTAGCTAATTTAAATTGCTAGGCCTTGTTAAGTGCTCTCTATTTCTATTGATATGCCAGAGCAGAAAGCTGTCAGTGTAAATATATGATCATGTTTCAAAAGAATGGAAAATATCTAGTGTATTAAATGTAGATAATAGGGCTTACCGCAATCTCTCATTAATGCAGTTAAAAAAATCAGTGCCGTTACTGCAGGTTCTTTTTGACCTGATGAATTCAAGCTACAAATTGAATGCGTACCACTTTAGGCTTCTACCCACATCCCATCATTTATCAAAACTTTGGGTGACATACATTTTAGTCGCTCCTGTTGAGATGAGGCTGTTGGCCCACCCGTTTGTATCACTCACAATTGACCTTAGCGGCTAGCATACCCAGAGGATTATTATTGATGTCATGTTGGTTGAATACTGTATTATTTTGTATTATAGTGAAAATGACCTTGGACCTTTTTTTTGGCTGGAAATTATAGAAGCAATCTGGCAACCCTGATATAGCCCTCTATTTTTTGAACAGCCTGAGCAGATGAGATGAGAGCACACCAAGAACAAAAATAAGCTTCCACTGTAACATTAATAGTCAGACAATAAACTAGCAAGCTTTTCAGTTCATCACGCAATAAAAGTTAAATAATCAACTAGACATCAATTGCTATTGCATCAATTGAACAGTACTAAGAAGAGCGGCTGATTATGCTAGCACTAGCTTAACAGGCTAGAAATGTAGCTCAACACACCACACAACTGTTTAGATTGTTTTTTTTTTTTCCTTCCAAGACCAGTTTCTTGCTCAGATTTGAGTCTAAATTTGCCTGAGTGGCGCATCAGTGAACTGGAATTGCTAGTGATATATTTTAGCCTGCTCACTAATTTAATGTTAAACTTTGGTGCTAACAAGGCCACTATAATGGAGCACACTATAGTATAGCAAGAGTAGCTTAGCTCAGTTGTTTTCAATCCTAGTCCTGGGGACTCTCTCCTGCACAGTTTCTGGTTTTCTCTGCCTCAAACACACCTGATCCAGCTTATAAAGGGCTTGAAAATGACCTGAAGAGTTGTGTGTTGGCGTAGGCAATAGTTGTAAATGTGCAGGGCAGTGGATTCCATTGAAAACCACTGGCTTAGCTAATGGGTTTGCACACAGAAACATTCCTATAATTATGTCTTAGTGTTTAACCTAACAACATACTTGGTATTTCAGTCAGTGACTAGTAAGCGTACTAAATAAAATGGCCAATGAGTGTAGAGACAAGGTAGGTGTACCTAAAAAATGGACGACTCTGTACCACACAAAGTGTGTCTGTGGTCTGCAGACTGCAGACGAACCCTTCATCCATTCTCACTCAGTGTAGTGTCTTATGGTTGTATAGTATTTACAGTTGCTACTATGAAACACAAGTGCCTTAATGTGCTGCAGACATGACTGAGAAGTATCAAGTAGTGCAGCTAGGATATATAGAAGAGCTGAAGTTAGAAATAATATTTCTTGTTTCTCAGTGTTGCCAACATGTTTCCACATTGTTCACTGAACAGAAAATACTTTACCTTATGTAGAAGACTTTTGCTTTTAAGTGACCAAAGCAGCTGTTTTTTTTTTTTCTTCATAAAAATATTTAGAAATGTACTCCATCTTCTGTAATTTTATTCCTTTGTGCTTTTGAATTTGATTTCATAAAAGTAAGTGTTAAGCCATTTGATCTCTTATTCAGATAGATGACTGGCCAAGTAATTCTCATTCTAATGATCACCATTCTTTATGTAAATCTAAAGTACGTATCAGCTCTCTTTTTTGCTTTCATCTATGTTGACCAGATTTTTTTCCATACAGTAAAAGCTTCCTTTCTGACTTAGCTAAATAAAACAAGTTTGGCCATACTGCTCTACTGGCAAGTATGGCATCAACTTTTAATGCAAGATTAGTTGTAACCTGTGCACTATGATGACGCAATTGACACACTTATCAATCTACAGTTGTATTTTGTCATTTGACCAGGGGTAAGGGCGTACAGTGACCGGCCACTTTAGTACACCTCCTTGTATCTACGCTCATTGTTCATTTTATGAGCTCCACTTACCACAAAGGTGCACTTTGCAGCTCTTCAGTTATACACTAGGGTCCGTTTCCTAAATGCTGCTAGCCCCCTTATACCCTATTCTTCAGTGGTCAGGATCCACACAGGACCACTGCAGAACAGGTATTATTTGAGTGGTGGATCATTCTCAGCACTGCAGTGACACTGATGTGGTGGTGATGTGTAAGTATGTGTTGCGCTGGTACAAGTGGATCAGACATAGCAGTGCTGCTGGAGCTTTTAAACACCTCAGTGTCACTGATGGACTGAGAATAGTCCACCATCCAAAAATATCCAGCCAACAGTGTCCTGAATGTAAGCGTAATGAAGGACTAGAGGATGACTAAATGTGCAGCAACAGGTGAACTACTGTCCTGTTAGACATTCCCACCATCAAGGTGGGGATGTCTAACAGGACAGTAAGTGGACACAGTGTTTAACCTTTTTAAAAAATGTATTTTTGAGTGCAGGGGGTCTTAAACATTACTGAAAACATGCTAGACAAACAACATGATTATCTTTTAGATTTTAATGTAGAAGAAGAGATGAACTGGCAAGAAAGTTTGAAGAACTACAGAAAGAACATTTTTATATTTTGATCAGTTGCTTTTATATGAAATCCTTCACTGCTATAGCTGAACTTGGACTGCATGAGAATTGTATTTATTTACATGTTGTTTTCTCTTCATCTGATTCACTTTTTCATATCCACAGGCTCTGCGATTAAGTGTTACAAGTGTCGGGACTACACTGGAAGTTGCACTAAAACCCAGGATTGCAGGTTTGAAGACTCCTGCCTGACGCTGAATGAGAGAGGTGATTCAGCTAACTCTCACTGTCACAGACAATGTCATGCAAACCCTTTATATCACTAACTTGCACACATACTTTTTACTTACTGAAAATTGTCTTTAAACCTTAATTTCTCTCTCTCCTCCACAGGTGGTGAGACGTACCGGCAGTGTGTAAGACATTCGGACTGTGACTACAACCTGCTCTCACAGATGTTTCCCCAGGTCTCCAGTTTCACATTCAAATGCTGCAGTTCTGACCTGTGTAACGGGGCTTCCACGACCACGATCAGTAGCTCGGTGCTGGGCTTACTGGTCTCCTTGGCAGTGTGGTGGTGGTGCGTCCTCTGAGCTACCCTGCTGTTTAAAAGAAATAAATGCTGCCCCCTGCTGTGCATACTGCTACTAGGCCTGAGCAACTCTGTAAAGGTGTTGGAGATGAACCAAATCACTTAAAAACTAAAATTAAGTTTCTGTGGTGACCACATGCTTAATTAATGCTACAGCACAAGTTGTTCAAATTTTAAAATAGCTCTTTCCAGCTGAAGTTGAAGATGAACACGAAACACTCAAATTGAATTTAAACAGTGGTCACCTGCTGATTTACTGTAATGGTAAAATGTAAGTGGGAATGTAAGTTAAAGTAGGATAAATAGGGGAAAAAACTGGAGACACTGAAAACTACATTTCTCACGTTTATCAACCAGCACCACTTTAGATTTCAGGGTTTGTCATCATTGCCCTAAAACAGATTATCGCCCTCTGATTTTCAGACAAATAAATTTCTTCAATGCACAGTACACCTCTGAAGGCGTGCATCATTTTGTAGTTGGCGTTATGCCTTATAAGGAACTGAGTTTAAGCAGTTGTTCATAATGGATAAAATTAATGGTATTTTAAAAAAAAAAACCATCGCACCCTGTGGTAAACAAAAATGTTACAAACACGACACGTGTGCTATGTACAACTCCTCCAAAATGTCACTACATCCTCTGAATTATGAGGCAGTTAAGTGGTCTAAACCGAGAATTTGTAGTGAGTTCAGTACTGTCCTCTGGGTTTGTCAGATTCTAGAGGGTTCCTGAGCAAGCTCAAAATAAATAGGTTTTTGTGTAAAATTGTATTTGTAAATGCTTAGTCATTTTTAAACAGAAAAATGCATTTGTTTTCTCAACACAGAACAGTACTAAAATTTCTAACAATATCCTATGTACACTCATGACATCAGTGAGAGCAAACAGCTTCATTTAGCCAATGAACTGATCAGGCAGCCAACTAATCAACGATCAGTAGCAGTAGTGCTTTTTGCTGTGGAAAAACTGAACCATACTGGTAAGTTTTCTTTGAGAAATATTTTGAAGTCATGTTTTCAGTATAATGGGAAAAAATACAAAGTAGCCAGGCTTCTCATAAACTGGCGTGGTCAAAAACTAATAATGCTACTCACATACCATAAGCGAGCTGTCACTCCTGCAAATTGCGTCCTGGATTTTTGTTGACCACAAGGTACAATGGCAGTGATTTTGATTCTCGAAAACAGAAATAATTGTTCTTGTAGGGAAAAAACAGTTTGAGTTATTTGGGCATGATGCTGACTACAAAATGATGTCCTCAGTGTTCTATAAAGGAACGGGCAATACTAAATCAGCCCAAGCCTTATCAATGCTGGCCTTTTGCATCTCAGAACTTTTTTTAATCGGCATGTTCATGTGTGTGCACTAACAGGAGTAGAAAATGTGCTTTTTGTATTGATTGATGAATCTTTAGTTAATGGTATGTGACAGTATTGAGTTGTTTGTTGGTTTGTTTGTTTGAGAGGGTGAAAAATTTGCACGTTAATCCTATTAAGACTGTTATGTTAAAGTGAAGTCGTATGTTACTGCTGCTTCACATTAATACATTTCAGTGAGCTTCCAGCATACAAGTAAAGGGTTTTAATATGCTTTACAGAAAAGCATATGGCTGATTTGCCCAACAGCCCGTTTTCAAAAAAAGTTTTTAACCTAATTGTAAAAAAAAAAACTTACTGTTTGTGTCCAATAAAGTGGACAATGTAAAGCCAAAGTGGCCTCAGTTTCTTTCACTCATTCAGGAATTCCACTGAATAAAAGATTTCATTTAAGTGTATTTGTCTGTTGCTGAAGAGAAAGCACTGACCACAAACAAAAGACCAAAGGGGCTACACTACAGGGTTTCTTATTCATTAAGCTTATCAGTGTAAGGGTGTCAGTCTAGAATAAGATTCCCCTTTAATTTACTATGACTTTACTGACAGGAACAGATCCTTGATCAGCACTCCTAATCTGAAGAGGTGAATATGGGGCATTATTTGGACTGTCACTTGCTGGCTAAATTCACAGACTCACTATTCTGAACGTTGCTTATGCTCTCATTCAATGCCACATTCCTTTTCTCCATGGTTTCCAGTCATTTTAATGATTAACTTAAAAGTACACTAGGTATTGACATTTTCTTGTCAGTTGAACAAATACTTTGACTGACCGGTGCTCACATGACTGGCCATTCAGTATGTCATAACAACAAGGTAGTGGTATCCAGTAGCACCCTGACCAGAGTCAACTTTCACTTGAATACAAAAAGCCTCGGAAGCCTCATAATCTGAATTAATCATGAAGTATTTCATTGTTGAAGTATTTCACTGCTGCTTCTGGTTGGCAGCTTCCAAATGACGATGAACAAATCAGTGAGCAGGAGAGAGAGACGGCCGAAAAGAATAGTGAAGCGCTTCCTCTTGAGAGCTGGCCACTTGGCATCTGCTCTGTGGTGAGAGAGATGAGCACCATGCTGGGAAAGCAGAGAGCTGAGCTCAGACATACACAAGTGCGCCTTAGAGGCCAGACTGAGAGAATCTAAGGCACAGGTCCAGGAGCTGAAAGCAGAGAACCAAGTGTTCAGATGAAGAACTGACAAGAAAGTTTGAAGAACTACAGAAAGAACATCAAGGTAAGAGGATCAAACAGTGTTTCCTCCCCAAACGAGGAAAGTCACAATACATGGAAGCAGTTTTTTTGTTCGCTTTTCAATGAATGACCCCCCTCAGGGACCCCCACATCGACGTCAAAACTGGCCAGAAAAGCATTTTTCTGACGTTCAGTAGCTTCAAAGGTGCTCAAATTGCATTGATGTCGGCACTGCGAATCAATGAATGAGCTGCCTCAACTCGCCAACCAATCAGCACTCAGCAACAGTAACGCTAGAGCCCTATTGCCAAAAGACCTATTTGCTTTAAAAAAAAGGAAAAGTAAGTTATCGTGGATTTTTTTTTATGTAGGCCTAATACGTTCTTCTACTTTCCCAATATTAAAGCAATAGATTACTAGAAACATATGTCATTAAAGTTAACGTGAATCAGAAATCATAATGCTTTTTCCTTCCGTACTGGGACATGGGTCTATGTCAGGAAGAGTGTAGTATCGTAGCAATTCTCCCCTCTTACCGCTAGGTGGTGTTGTATATGGCTAGTTAGATTTCAGAACTGACCGGGTGTGGGCAGGAGAAAAAAAAGTTGAAAATGGCGAGTCCACAGTGCTGGATCCTGTAAAGGAAACGAAGTTAATAAACAGCCAGTACGTTCATCCTTGTACCGAGTAATTATTATGTCAAGTTAATACAGAGAGTCTCTGAGCTTGATGATAGGTGAGGTGGTGGGAAGGGAGTCATTACTGGTTAGTAGTATTTTATCCCCCCTGCTTGTACACGGTCAGAAGACTTACTAAAAGTCACCACATTCTGATGAAAGAATACGGGAAAACAAAAAGCATTAGCTACATAGCTTTTTATTGCTAAGGCACTGGAGCAGCTCTTTGGCTGAGTGAAGTGGTTTGCAGCAGTGTTAAAATGTTTTATGCTGTTATTGTGCTCAGGAAATGAATGCATTCAGTGTTTAAAAATTATGATTTTGCTCAAATGCTCCATATTAATACATTCATTTTGCCCTCTAGCATTTGACAAACCCGGTAGACAATACAAAGTGGCAGTTCTCTCTACAAATTCTCTGCTTTAGCTGCATTTACATTCATCATGTGGACTCTCTCATACATTCGCTCACGAGGTTTTATTTACGGGTATAACTGTAATTATGCGCTACGGTAGAACATTTTGATAAGGTAGCACAGCTCGTCGGAGCAACGGCACAGCCCGCATTAGTTTCGTGTAGCTTAGTGACATCAAATTGATGCGCAGTAGCTTTAGCTCGCATGTAGCAATATTAGTATTATAGCTCTTTAACGACCTCGTAATTCGCAGGATCCAGTGGTATTCGGGAGAAAAATGTACACAGAACGAAACGTTTAGGGTTCTGAACATTTTTATTTAACACGGGGGGCGATGGAGGCGATTTTTGGAAAACCCTATTCGTTCTGGTTATAGAGAAATGGGGCATAGACCCGGAGTTCCTAATATGGGCATAACGAAGACTACCGAATGACGCACGACTACAGTGTTCTATGCTGACAGGCTTCTTAAGCGCTCTCTACTACAGCTGTTTTGTGAGGTGGGATAGAGCAAAAATCTGGGCTGTCTGAAAGTGCCTGAGGACTGGATTAGAAGCGCCGAGCTTGTTGTTGAGGTCTTTTCCATTTTAAGCTGGTATTCTCTCTCATTTTCTGTTGCTATAGTTCAGTCAGTGAAGCTCGGAGTTCTGAGAGACAGATCCGACATCACTGAGCGAACAGTGGAGGAGCTGAGGAAAACAACGAAGGTGAGAGCTAAGACACTTATTTCAGAGACTTTTTAATTTATTTTAAATCATATTAGTTACTTGTGTGGTATATGCCTAGGCAATTAAGTTGTGTATTACTACAACTTAAATGCAATAATAACCTTTGTAATATTGAAAAAAAAACACATAATTGCCCAACTTTTATTTCATACTTCAACCAAACATTGCTAATGTGGCTAATGCCAGCTACACTAAAATCTATGACTCTGACTATGTACTGTTTATAGAGTAACTGTTTTTTTCAAAAGAGTGGTCCTGTGATGAAACAAAATCAGTAACTTATCCAAAGTAGCCTTTGAAAACAACAAAACAGTTGCATAGATATAAACGATTAAATATATTAAGAGACAAAAGACGTTCTCCTTCTGTCATACATTGTTTCTCATAGTGCAAAGCAACTTGGGATACAAATTCTTAGTATATAAAACTATAAAAACATTTCCTCCTTTCCCTTCCATCACTACTTTTTCAGATATGTACTTATATATCTAAAAATAAATTCAGTTCAATAAAAACAAAATTAATTCATTTTTTGCTTGATATTTAACTTTGACAATCTACATTCAAAGAAAAACGTGCCTCTTTGAAGTTTAAAGAACCTCCATATTATATAAATGTTCTTACACCGATCAGGCATAAATTATGACCACCTCCTTGTTTCTACGCTCATTGTCCATTTTATCAGCTTACTATATAGGTTCACTTTGTAGTTCTACAATTACAGACTGTAGTCCATCTGTTTCTCTGCATGTTTTGTTAGCCCCCTTTTCCCTGTTCTTCAGGACACCCATGGACCCTCACAGAGCAGGTACTGTTTGGGTGGTGGATCATTCTCAGCACTGCAGTAACACTGATGTGGTGGTAGTGTGTTAGTGTGTGTTGTACTGGTAGGAGTGGATCAGCGCAACACACACTAACACACCACCACCACATCAGTGTTACTGCAGTGCTGACAATGATCGACCACCCAAATAGTACCTGCTCTGTGAGGGTCCATGGGGGGCCTGATCACTGAACAAGACCAAGAACAGGGTAAAAGGGGGCTAACAAAGTGCAGAGAAACAGATGGACTACAGTCTGTAATTGTAGAACTACAAAGTGAATCTATATAGCAAGTGGAGCTGATAAAATGGACAATGAGCCTAGAAACAAAGAGATGGTCATAATGTTATGCCTGATGAGTGTATATTGATGTAGAGCCTTTACATACTATATTTACTTCACCTTAAGGGAAGGTTCTTTCAACTTTAAAAGGATTATTCATGCTAACACATGAACCTGGCTTCTAACTCGCTGAATTACACTGCATATTGTTACTTAACTAAGATAGTTTTTGAACTTGATGTTTAATTATGGTCACACACTGTACATCTTACAGTTAATCACAGTCACTCATTCACTCTTTCACATTTAGCATTCAGAAAACTCTCTGCCTGCAACTTCTACAAGGGGTGCTGTTAGCACACAAAAAGCTTCTGGTGCTTCTTAAAAGCAGTGCTTCTCATCAGTTACGCTGCTTGTCCTTGTTCAAACAGGGTTCTTCAGGAAACTAAAAGTTTGTGGCCCCAAATACTTTGTTTCCACAGCTGTTCTTTTGATACTTTTTCTCTGACAGTGAGAAAGGTGGCATTCTCAGCCTCTCTTCTGGCTACTGGAGAGGGACACGTTGGACCCATCAGTACTGAAACCATACTAATCTTTGGAAAGATCCTCTCCAATGTCGGCAATGCTTACAATCCATATAGAGGTAAAGTTTAAATAGCATATACTCCGTGGATCCACAATTTTTTTACTTTCTGGTGCTTTACTGTTCTTTGTGTTTGGTCTTTTACAATAGGGATCTTTACTGCCCCAGTTAGAGGCATCTGCGAGTTCAAACTCTTTGTCTACAATCATGCTACTTCCTCAGTCTCCTCAGGAGCATCCTTGCATAAGAATGGAGGAACATCTGGTGACCGCATACGCCCACAACGATGACAGTCAACATGTCAGCAGCTCCAACAGTGTTAATGAAGAAATGAACCTTTTTTAGCCAACTGTGTCTGAACACATCGGAATTAGACCTCTGTGTTTAACCCATCCGTGCAATGAACACACACACACACACTAGGGGGCAGCCCTATCCACGGCGCCCGGGGAGCAGTTGGGGATCATGTACTGTCAGCCGAGGGGATTGAACCGGCGACCTTCCGGTCACAAGGCTGGTTCCCTAACCTCCAGCCCACGACTGCCCGTAATGTACTGATGGAGCACGGAGATGTGGTCTTTGTGAGACTGTGGGCTAACAGGAGAATATTTGACAGTAAAAATCACCACAGCACTTTCAGCGGACACCTACTGTTCCCTTTGTGACAAACGCTGATGGAAATAAAAGGAATCCTGTCATGTATTCTTTTAATACAGATATGTGATGAGTTTTGTGATCAAACAGCAATCACACATCAGTGTGGAGCAGAGATTTTCAAGTCTGGCCCTCAAATTCTGTTTGCCTTCTCACTGAAAATGGAGAGTGGAAAATGCTGGCAGAATGTTTTTTCGCATTTGAATATATAGGAAAGAAAGACAGAAAAAAGCAACAAAAGTTGCAGCACTGATGCCTTCAAATGTTTAATTTAGTATGAAAATGCCACAGAATCTGTCCTGTCCTAAAGTGATGAAATTCTGTATAGTTATATGATCATCTAATAGTACCTGTTAGATTTTGTTTTTTTCTGTAATTTTTAATACTCGCAACTAAATTTTGATTGTCTATAATTTCAAATAAAATCTGAAAGCATTGATTCCATCTAAATTAACTTCAACCTATATTTGAACAAAACAATACAAAGACAAGATATCATGATATCTATCATCATATCAAGATATAGGTAATGATACTATGACAAGGTAAGGCATTACATATGTTAACATCATCCAGAAACTCTGCCAACTTCTCTGGGCTCTAGCTCATCTGAAATGTACTGTCGCATGGTGGAAACGTCTGATGAGACAACCTTTCAGATTGTTTATGGAAAAAACAGATGTGTTCTGTAAGCCAAGGAAGAAAAGGACCATCCAGATTGTTACCAGCATAAAGTTTTGGTATTGGAGATCGGGATATTAATGGGTAACTTGCACGTTGGTGAAGGCACCATTAACATTGAACACCTATGTTCGATGCTTATTTCAACATGACATGAAGCCTCATTCTGCAAGTTTCAACAGCATGGCTGCTCTTCTGGAGTCCAGAACTGTCTTCTATTGAAAATGTAAATCTTATTAAGCTCAAAATATGACAACAAAGGCATTGTATGGTTGCCCAGCCAAGGACTTGTTTGAGAGAAGAATGGCAAAAAATTATGTTTTTTAAAACTGGATCAGTTGGTGTCTTCAGTTCCAAAATGATTATAAATAGTTGCTAAAAGGAACGCTGATGAAACACGGTAGTAAACATGCTCCCATTTTTTTAGTGTGTTACATGTATTACATTTGGAATATTTACGAAAAATAAGTTCATATGGTAAAACATAAATATTGTAATACAGGTCAAACAGAATTTACTAATCACTGCTTTCTTTTTTTATTATAATCTTACATACTTCTGAACTTTTTTGAAATTGCCTTTGTGTTTTGTTAAAAATTAGAAGATCCGTGTGACCCCTATTAGATTAAATATAATGATTTATGTAATAAAAACTTCATATAAAAAGCTCAGGCAAGCTCAGAGAACATATGAACCAAAGGAAAAGTAACATTTCCGATATGGACATTAATTAAAGGGGAGTTTTGCTTAAAACTGCATTTGAAAAAACAGTTTTATGTTTTATGCTGTGGTAATGAAGACAAAACTTGTAATAAGGTGAACCTACTCTCTCTGACCCCTGCGCATATTAAGCAAGAAGAAACTGCTGAAGTGTTTGCTGAAGTCAGTTGGTTGTAGGAAAAATGGCCACACGTGCGTGAGTGCCCTGGCTGAGGAATGGTTCTTTAAACATTTGTTCTGCATCACACTGAAGCCCCGTAAACAGTGTCCTGTTCAGTTGCACTCACAATGCTTCTTATGAAGACAAAAAAGTGTCTTCTTGCATTCTCTCAGAACAAACAAACACACACACACAGGTTCATTTACAATTGCATTGTTCCTGACGTTTACTAATCAGAGCATTTAACCTAAGCCTGGTCATGGAAATGGCAAACAAAGCCTGAACCACATCTAGGCAAAACCTTTATTTGGTATGGAACTTGTAGATTGTGAGAAATTCTTTAAAATTAAAAATGGTCTTCATGCCAGCACATCTCATTGTACTAAATGGTTCTTTAGAGAATCATCTGCTTGGTTCTTTATGGGACCAAAAGTGGTTCAGTGCAGCAGCGTGTCACTAAGATAATCAAAATTGAAAGCATACATCCACATGACCTGCATTTCAAAGGTCATCAAATGAATATTTTTCTCTTTGCTTTATTTTTTGAGGTTTAAGGATTTTTAAAAAATAAATATTAAAAGCAAAAACCCAATTTGTGCGCACAATTCTACAGTGATCAAACACTGTAAAAAAATATTTGTTTTAACTTTGAAGTTCTAATAGTAAGTTTCTTGTTGCATTCCCATATTCCTGTAGTGCTGCATAATACTCCTTTAAGAAATTGTTTTCCTGTAGAATTGTCTTATAGTAATCTGTGATAGTAATCTATAATACAGTGCACTGTCCTGCAGTATACTACAGTCACTGTCTGAATTTACTATAATATTCTTGTAGGAATCACATAGAAACTCTTTTTTATAAGTATAAATAAGGCAGCAACATTTTAAGCCAGAAGTGCTTGAGGGCTGGTGTCCAGCCCAGTTGGGTGATTTACCTGCTCAAACACACCTGATTACACTCATCTGTTAATTGTCAGGTTTAGTGGTTTGGTTGAGAAGTAAAACTACCAAACTCCTACGCTTTTAATCCACTCGCTCTACATCCTCATGGCATTTCCAGAAATAGACCTGGAGGAACTGGATATTGAAGGCAAGAAGCTGAAACTGAAACCTGACTTCATAAAATACTTCCTACGCTCACAGATATAGTGTCCTTCCAAATTATTGACCCAAATGTATTTTGTGTTTACGTATTTTGTAGGTATTGTACATTCACATTAGCATAGTGGATGTATAATGGATAATGGACGGCCTGGCACCTATTAATTATAACATTTAACAATGAACAATTTAGCTAAACAGTGAAGCTAAAGAAGGAAAATGTCCAGAATTGTAAATGGAAAGATGATTTGTTGGTTGGAAAGCATTTTACAAGTGCTATATCAAGAAAATCATGGGTGTAAACTTACTACTTACTACTATTAAAACCAGTGGTGAACCGTGACTATTAGAGCTAGGCCTTCAATTCAGAAAAGCATGAGGAACATCCGTGACAAAGTTAATTTCTGTTAGTGTCACTATGGGATTCTGATAGTGTGTTAGTGCTAAGCTAAATGTGCTTTGAATTAACATTTTTTGCTGATAAAATATCTGTGCTAGTGCTTCATTCTATATAGACAGACTGGAAAACTGGGCAAGGCCTTCTGGAACAGTCCCTGGCTGGTTCTGATCCTATTTGGAAGATAGGAGCTACTTTATATTGCCATTAACAACCACAAATCTAAATGGGTAATGCTGACCTGGGATGTCCCATAAAGATCCATTCTTGGGCCCCTACTGTTTAATCTTTATATAGCACCACTGGGCCAAATCCTTAAAAAATAATAAAATATCTTACTACAGCTATGTGGATGGCACCTAGATCTACTTAGCTGTCTTGCCAGATGACTACAGTTCTGTTGACTCTTTATGTCATTGCCTAGTGTCAATAAAAAACTGGATGAAAGAAATCTTTCTCCAGCTAAATAAAGTCAGAAATCTTGGCATAATAATTTTTTCAGATCTGAATTTTAACAACCATGTAAAAGTAATAATGAAAGTAGCACTTTACTATTTCAAGAATATATCAAAGTTTAAAAATGGTTGGACTACTGCAATAGTCTCTTTACTTTCCTTCCCAAGACCACAAATAGACAGCTACAGCTTATTCAAAACACAGCTGCTAGAATACTTATGAAAGCTAAGAGATCCCAGCACATTACTCCAGTCTTCAAGGCACTGCACCTGCTACCAATTAACTACAGAACTGACTTTAAAGCACTTCTAATTGTATATTAATAACTGCATGGCCTTGAACAAAAATACATTGCTGATCTGCTTGAAGTATGCAAATAGGCCTCTCTGATCACTAGGAACCACTCAGTTGGTAGTGCCCAGAATTAGAACTAAACAGGGTGAGGCAGTTATGCAGTCATTATGCTGCCTCCTGCTGGAACAAACTTTCAGATGAGACCAGACATGCTTCAAATGTAGCCATCTTAAAGTCCTTTGTTTAGCACTGCACTTTTTCTTCACACAACAGTATTGTTATTTAATTTAATTTCTTATTTTATTTTTTTGTCTTATTGCCTTTTATCTCTGCACTGTATTTTAACTTAAATTTTTGTAACTATTTTTGCAAACGCCTTTCTGATCCCTCTAGGACCAGAGTTTGTCACAAAATATGTCCTGCCTATTGGAGATCAAAACGTGACTAATTGATTCCTTTGTCACTTCGTAATTATGATGATGGTTAATTTAACACATCAAGCCTTCTTTTCAGCTCCTGAAGTCATAACCAAGAGAGCTTTCTTAGCTATATCTACCTTCCAATCATCCGATCTGCCAATCTTCTGATGTGTGTTTCAATAATTAAGCCCCTTTGTTTCCATCTAAAACTTAACAATGGAACAAGAAAAGCACTGTAATATTTGCAGAGTTTAAAACAGTCATGTTTCTACTGAATAAAAATCAACTACAAATTACAGACATGTAAATCATTAGGTCTTCTCTGAAGGTCTAGAAGGCCTGAGTTTTCCACTCTGATTAAAGTATATTTAAAACAAGACTTGGGGATCTTAGGTTCAAGGTTTAGACATTTTTAGCCTTATTTACAATAACAGGCCCCCCTCCTATTCCACTGCTTAAATACTACACCACAAGATGCAAATTATAGTCTATAGTCAAGAACATGACTCCATTGGTTGGTGCTTCATCAGTAAGCAAAATGACCCAATTCTTAAATCTGTGTTCACCTGTGACCAGAAGAAGATGAATTTTTGAGTCTTGGTTCCTCTTTATTTTTTCCTCAGTTCTTAGGGTTTTTCCCCCATTGTCTCCCTCAGCTTATCATATCATTAGCTGAATTGAATGCAATATTGTTTCTGTTGTAATGTAAAATAGTAAATTTATAAGAGAAGGAAAAATATTCTTAAGCATACATTAATGCAATGACATTTTGGTAATTTTGAACCACTTCTGTCGGTCTATTCATCGTGAAAAGTTCACATTGTAAAGTGTAAAGGGCAGCTTGTTGTATTTGCTTAGACTGGTATGTTGCGTTTGTCTATGGTGGTGTTAAAGGCATTGTTATGTGTGCACACAGCCCCTTTCACACCAGAGGTGTACAGAGCAGTGACTGTATCTGCTCTGTAAACTCAGGCTCCTGTTTGGGGAGCTCACAAAACTCCAACAAGGGTGGTCCAATAGTAGGCAAAGGAGGGGGTTGGGGGGCGGGCTTGGGGTGGGGTGGGGGTGGGAGGGAGAAGGAGATTGTTAAGGAGGAGCCATGGGGCTCAAAATCATCTAAAAGAAGACCTAAGAGGAAGATGAAGACAGTAGAAGACAGTTATGGACAATCTCAGCTTTGACTAACAAGTGGAGAAAGAACAAAGCACAAGGAACAGGAAGACTAGAAAAGCAGCAGAGATGCCATTTAACTGGTAAAATATTTTATATGCATTCCTTCTATAACCCAGAAGTGGCATTTTAACTTGGATAAAAATTTCAGCACTTTAATGACTCAGTAAGTGTTTCTGTAGAAAGGAAGATGAGACGTACTGAGAGGTAAAAAAAAGGCAGGTAATTTTACTGTATTTTTTAACATTATACTTTCATTGTGCTGAAAACAAATAAGACCTTATTGATTTTTTCTACCATCATAATATTACCAGACTGGAACCCTCAGGGCCCTTCAGAGTAGCCCTAATGACAAAACATACCTAACATAATTAAAAAAATGACTGGAATAAACTACTCACGTCTTGATTTCCAGTGACCAGTTTTGTGAGAAAAATTTGCTCCAGGTCTTCTGGAAGTCCATATAGATTCATCACTGCCTGTCTAACCAGGTTTCAGTTCGTTTTTTGAAATGGTAAACAGTAGTGGCTTTATGCCGGGGCTCTTTACTTTAACAGTCACTGTAAAACTCCTACAAGCTAAAATATGTTATTTTGTCTATTACAAGCTTTAAATAAAATATAGAATGCTTCAAGTGTTTTTGTTTAATGTAGAAGAGTGAATAGTGTCGATGTGAACGATACTGAAATACTAATTTGCTACTAGAATCCCATAGGGATGCTATCAAAAACTATTGTTGTCACAGATGTTTTTTTTTCTGACTGAGTTTTGACATTTGTGGCCTGAACTGAAGGCCTCCCTCTAATAGTTACGGTTTCCACTGAGCATTTCTATGGTATTATTGGTTACTATGATAATACTAAGATACATATGGTATCAGTAGTTACTGAGTCTAGTGACTGAACTAAAATGCAGTTCTTTGCAGTCAGTATTTTCACAGCTTCTCTTTATTCGCTCATTCTTGCAGGAAACTCAGCTGAGAATTCAAGAAAGATGATCTGATATAGAATGAAGAGTGATGTTATCACATTGTCAGTGCAAGAAAGGAAAGGGAGAATCTAGCAGTCCATCTTCCAACTGCCAGGAAAAGAAATTGTGGAACACAAAGTCACAAGGAGCTTCATCAAAGCAGGGTCAAACATCTTGAAACAACCCAAGAACCTCACTGTTTTTTTTATGCTGCCATCTGCCTGTCACAACCCATGGTGGGTTGATACTTATCCATTTATCCTTGGATTTTTTATTAGATTAACTTATCAACCACAGAATAGTGCCACTACTTTACAAGGACCGATATACAAACTCAAATGTACACAACCTATACAATCCAATTCAAAAGATTTCATGCACTAGTTTCTTATTTAAGCAGTTAACTGACATAATAACAAATGAAAATCGATTAGGTTGCTAGGTCTTCTCAAAAGACCTCAGAACAGAGGAATTCTAAAGCATCTACTTGAAGGAAGAAGCTCATATTTGTTGCTGATGTTCTCCTCCATGTCTGAGTTTGAGTGGTCCCTCGCCTCCCCATCCCCCCTCCCCCAGTGTGACTACAGTGAGTGGAGTGCCACCCGGGTGGTGATTCCAGCTGTTTATCTCCTAGCCTTCATTGCTGGCACGCTTGGTAATAGCTTAGTTCTGTGGGCATACCTGGACTGCCATGGCATAGGCCGTAGGAACTCCCAGTTGGAATGGCCTCAAGAACCTTCTCCAGGCCCGTCCTCCACTTCACGTACTGTAACAGAGTCCCTGATTGCCAGCCTGGCCCTGGCTGACCTGGCCTTCGTCATGACCCTCCCCCTGTGGGCAGTCTACACAGCCCTGGACTACCACTGGCCATTTGGTGGTGCTCTCTGTCGAGCAAGTAGCTACCTGGTGGCTCTGAACATGTATGCCAGCGTGTTCTCTCTGACCGCACTCAGCGTGGAGCGCTACCGTGTGATTACCCGCAGCAGCAGCAACAATGGCATGCAGAACCAAGCCACAGCAAGGGCTTGCTGGGTCGTAGGGAGTGTGTGGGTGGCAGCTTGCAGCCTGGCACTCCCTGCTCTGCTTCTACGAGCTGTCAGAGAAGTGCACTTGGACATGGGGACAGATGATAACTGGCTGGAAGAGGAAGACAGTAGGAATGGTGAGGGAAGTGCCACAGTTTGCTTGTGTGACATGGACTACTCCAGTGTGGTATCTGCAGACCTGGACCCCATGGCAAGGGAGCGAGCGGAGTTGATATGGTCAGCAGCACTAGGTCTAAAGTCCACGCTACTGGGTTTCTTGCTTCCTTTTGTCATTTTACTTCTCTGCTACTGCTCCCTGGGGCGTCTCCTTTTCCGACACTTCAGCCTGGGCCCACGACCTGATCGTCAACGCCAACGCAGGCTCCTCCGAGTCATTGTCACCCTTGTCCTGGCCTTCTTCCTTTGCTGGCTGCCCTTTCACGTCAACAAAACCCTTTCAGCCTTGGTGGAACTAGACCTCCTGCCCTACTCCTGTGGCTTTGACCGTTGGTTGGTGGCAGCCCACCCGTATGCCATCTGTCTGGGCTATGTCAACAGCTGCCTCAACCCTCTGCTCTATGCCTGCTGCGATCCGGCGTTCCGCCGACGTTGCAGAGGCGTGATCCAATACAGATGGACAAGTTCAAGAATGAGGGTCAAGGAGGAAAGAGAGCCAACCAGCAAAAGCTCCGCCATGCTGTCAGGTACAAAGGAGGATGTGGAAGAGGATGACAAGCACAACAGAGTGATGGAAGGCGAGGCAGAGAAGAAAGCGCACAACCACAATAAGAGAATGTCTAAAGAAGAATACTTTGAAAGGCTATAAGAGGCTTTTGTTCACATTTCAAGTCACGCATTAAAGAAAAATATGCCTGTTTTTCTTTATTGCAAATGTAGTTGCTGATCAACCATGAATTGTCTGGTGTCTTAAGTTTGCTTCTTCAGTTTTGCATTGAAGCATTGGATAATGTGGCTAATAAGTAATGAAAGAGGTCACCAATTAGTGCTGTTCTTCAAATCCAGACCTTGAATCTTTATGGTCCTGGATTTTGTTATCGCTTATAGTTAAAAGAACTGTTAATGCATTCGATTGGCTACCTAGATTCATATATGACAGCTGTCAATCAACACTTTGATAACTCGCGGAGGACCCTCAAAGGGCATAGGTAGATACCTCTGTGCCTGACTTTTTGTGAACTGAAATATATTTGTAAATACAACAAAGCTAGCACACAACTGAATTAAAATCAGTGGCAAGTTTTACAGCTGACTATAATGACTTGCTTGATAATGAAGACAATGTTAACTTGCCAACTCTGCCCATGGGTCCCTGGGAAATTAAGTCAGGATGGGGATGTGATACTGGGCTTCGCACTAGAAACTGAATTTATGGACTAGATCTGAATACCTAAATCATCATTCACTTTCTGCAAACAGCTTCAACTTTGACACTAGCGTTCAGAAGTTTGAAATCACTTGCCAAATTAATAATTTTGTTTTATGTACAGAATTAACTTGTACAATGTGTTTGCAAATACAACAACTTCTTCCCCAAAAGGCATTTCAATGTTTTATTTTATATTTTGGGAAAATCTGTGAAGTGAATAAAATGATAGTTTTACATTACTTTTTGTCATATTATCTGCCTCCAGATTTAATGTCCACTTTTAAATTGTAATGAATTTTATTACAACTTACTTCTCAATGTCATTACAGCTTTCTCAGCCATTTAGGAGTCTGCTACAGTTCTACACTTCTTTTTATCAATCTGCACACATCTAACATTTTTTTTTCTATTTTATTTACAGCTTCCTGGGGTCCTAATTATATGAAACCTGTGGACTAGCATATTAGAATCATTTTTATACATTTATCTGCAAACAAATGGGTTTTGTATTATTGAAACATTGACTGAACTTTTGAACAGCACTGTATGTAATCTGAACATATATTATTTGAGCATCTCAAATGATGACATAATACAAGTCTTCAAAAAGTTTACTGTAGTTTGTGTTTGTGTATCTGCTGGCATTCAATGTCCGTTCACAGGAAGTCTATACCCACACAGTGTGGGAACTGCAAATTTGGAATAATCACATTACAGTTTTTCCCATGAAGGGGTGAAATGGAGTCCCACAACAGACTAAACTGCAGGACAGGGGCACGTAAACTTTACAAAGAAGCTTCATGATTCACAAGAATGTGCAAAGTACAACTACAGTGTAAGCTAGAAAGAAATGTGCAAACCTGTATGATAAACATTTTAATGCTGTAAAATATTAAGTAGCTAGGCTGATTAAATTTGTAAAATGTGTATAAGTGCATGCAAAAAAAAAGGGTTTCCGTTTCTCCAAATCCTGGGATTTGTCCAGTCTTGCCAGAGGTCCCCAACAAACAAAAACACAAAAACACATCAAGCTTCGTAGTGAAAAAAAAAACAAGAGTTTATTTTTTTTATGGATTTTGACAAGCAGTAGACTGAAAAATACTCCATACAGGTCGTTACTGAGCCAGTCAAGTCCAAGATGAGCTAAACTGACGTGTTTCCATTTTGATCATTCACACAGCTGAATCCATGCTTTATCCTGACACTTGACCGCCTCTCACACTTACACCTATACCCAATCTATTTCAAACACACACCCACACACACACCCACACACACACCCACACACACACCCACACACACACCCACACACACAGACAGTCAGTTGTCAGGCTTAAGCATAGTATTGCAGGTTGGCTTTTTTCTTGGCCTGCACCTCCAGAATACCCTCCATGTAGTCTTCATGGTTCAGCTCAGTGGCCCCACGACGCAAAGCAATCATACCCTGGAATACAGACAGAAGAACAAGTCTTAAGAATGAGAATTTTTTTGCAGTGATTCAGTTGAGACTGATTGGGATTATCCATTAATAGAAAGACTACATTCCACTGCTATTGTACAAACAACTACAAAAGGTAGTTGCTTCGCTACAGGCCACCACACACCGTACATCAAGCAGGATTATGCCAAACAGTTTTATCCCTTTTGATTAAAATGTAACTGAAGGATATGTAAATGAAATCTAATAGCATTGCCTTCACTTTGGACACACAATATTTCACCTACAAAGGCAAGACTACATTTTAAAAAGCTCAGGGGTCTTTTGGGCTATGTTCACATTACCAGGCAGAAGTGGCACAAATCAGATTTTTTGCCCTAATGCAACTTAGATCTGATGTTTTCAGAGCTGACTGGACACGCAAATCTGATCTTTTCAAATCCGACCTGAGCCACTTTCATATGTGGTCCTAGATATGTATCCATCGGATACGTATCTGATTTGTGGCCATGCGACCTTAATGTGAACGCTCAGATCGGAATTCATGTGCTTTTTTTTCCACTGTGCATGCACCATCATTCAGCGTTAACATGGCAGCAGCGGCGAACAGAGGTTAAAGCCTGTAGACGGTCGAAAAGAATCACCTTTTCGCCTTTATCTTGCTCTAATAATGAAAAGCTGAGAGCTGTTCAGAGTTAATTATCTTCGCAGTGAAGCCTCGTTCTGCTCGTTCGTTTGTTTACTGATGATGAACGTGACACACATGCGGGTCATTTCAGGACACTGTTTCATTCACATTATTGACAGATTTGAATTAGCTACCTAAACGAGCGTAAACCATCCTGTCAGACAGATCGGATTTGAGCAAAAAATCGGATTTGAGCAATGAGGCTTGTAATGTGAATGTAGCCTTGGTCCTCAGGGCCTCCTTGGTCTTCAGAGAATGCCTAATGACTTCTGAGTATGAAAAACTCTTTAGTTTTCAGTTCATTTTCAATTTAGTGGAATAAACATGCTTGCTGTATTAAAACTCTGCAAGTTTTGTAGTACTACTATTTTTTCATTGCTCAGATTTGGTTGGAAAAACCTGAAACTGACAAACTGCAAATTGTCCAATCAAATTTTAACCAATGGGTATCAACCAGTAGTTAAAAATAGGCACCAAATACATACATACATACATACATACATACATACACACACACATACATAAATAAATGGGAAATGAACAGAAATTAGCATTATCAGAGATGTTTTTTTCCCTCTTTTTTGACATTTATAGCTCAAACTGAAGGATTAGTGGTAAAAGTCACAGTTCACCACTGAACATTCTCAATTACACCATTGCCTGAGATGCCAGTCTTTGCCAGAATTATGGTCTTATGTACATCAGACCCCACTGAAATCTCCCCGTTTCTCTTACGCAATTGACAATCTGTGCTATAAGCTAAACTGCAGAACAAATTAAAACAATACTCACTGCCTCCACACACACAGCTTTACACTGAGCACCATTAAAGTCATCAGTGCAGCGTGCCAGCTCCTCATAGTTCACATCAAGGCTAAAGAGAGGGAGAGAAAGACAAAATAAATAGAGGGGCGGTTCTAAAAAAAAAATGCATATACTGAAATCCTTTCACATGGTTAAATGACTCAGACAATCGTTGTGTACCTAACATTCATCTTGCGCGAGTGGATCTGCATGATCCGAGCACGGGCCTCCTCGTTGGGCATGGGGAACTCAATCTTGCGGTCCAGCCGTCCAGAACGCAGGAGTGCAGGGTCCAGAATGTCCACTCGGTTAGTGGCAGCAATCACCTGAAAACACACAGTCAAAAGTTACGGTTATGGAACTGTGCGTTTTAAATGGAAGTTAATTGATTTGCATTTTATCAGGCTACAAACACCCAGTGAGGCTGCAGTAACAGGGAATTTAAGAAAAGGAACAGTACAGACCGCACATAGAACAAATGCGTATAACACTACAATTTACATTCAGCATGAATGTTCAAATGAATCAAGCTACTATTAAAACAGGTGTGTATTACTTTTAACAAAGTATGTACCTTGACTTGCATGTTAGGCTGAAAGCCATCTAGCTGGTTGAGCAGCTCCAGCATGGTCCTCTGCACCTCTCTGTCTCCAGCCTTTTCACTGTCAAAGCGCTTGGTACCGATAGCATCCAACTCGTCAATGAAGATGATTGAAGGGGCTTTCTCTTTAGCCAGAGCGAAGGCATCACGCACTAGCTTGGCTCCATCTCCTATAAACATCTGCACCAGCTGCGGACCAGCTAACTTCAGGAATGTAGCCTGAGAGAGAGGGCAATACCAAAAGGTTGGGTAGGGGGTTATCACAATGAGACAGTGAAGACTAGTCAGCCTTTTGTCCAAAATTAAGTCATGTCAATGCACGTAAGCATCAGAGCACTCATTGTGAACACGTTGAGCGCAGATGCATTAACATGCACAAAACATTGTTTTGGAATATATCCAGTGGGGTATTTCACAAAGCAGGACTTCTCAGTTTAGCAAGATAACTGACTACTGGCTTGACCCGACTCAAGTCACCCTTTTTGGTTTTCCATTAGGTAAACATGGTACCTGGTACTGGGTACTATTTCTCATGGAGCAGCAAAATCTTTCTTTTTTTTAACATTTGCTCCACAGTTGTGAAGCAGGCAGGTAAAATGTTGGAAATTGTTGCTTCTTCCAGTGATGCAATCAACTAAAAGGTTATGCTGTAGGCCCCTTTCAAACACATACAAATGTTTCTGAAAACACCTTTTTCTCCTCTGCATTTTGGCCTTCCATCCACATGAAATCGAGCCTTTCGTCATTAAAAACAGCACCTTTTAACTCTTCTTTGCAGTCTTATATCTTCTTAGGGTCGATGAATCATTTTTGTTTATATTTTATTAAGTACATATGGCTAATAGAGTAAATACTGAGACAAAGTCAGAAGGGGGTGCTATTCGCTTTGTTAGCTGGAATGTAAAGGGCTT